TTATCTACTGATTGTTTTCTCATTCCTAATTACACTCCAAGGGAGAAAAATCACCATTAGCATAAAGAAAACTGGTGTTAATGGATGAACTCTGGCTGAGGTGGGACCCTCAGATTAGAAAGCATACTCTTTCCAGATAAATTGTCACAGCGAAGGACGAACAGACCTAATAATTATTGTAGGGTTTACTAATTTATATGCTAAAAGCCACTAATGGACATACAGAAGCTTCAATAACGACATGTGCAAACAACATAATAGCTCATCAGCGGCGCAGCTCTCTGAACTGTCAGGAGCAACAGACAGACGGAAGCATTTCAACACTGCTTTCCTTCACTTGCATCATGCAGTATTTCATTGCCATCCAACAATCCAGGTAGCAATGTTCCTGATTTATCAAGGCTATCCGTTTACTGTGACGGCCAAATCAGATCACTGTTGAAAGATTCATCCCCAAGTGTCAGGCTGTGCACAACTAGCAAGAGCCACGGCACTCAAAACTTGCCACTGTGAATATTTCAGAATTACTAAAAGCAATCCAAGGTAGACATTCATATTTTATCTGCATGTCCTCGTACATCAAGATATCTTTGAGAGTAATTTGTTTTTGATGCGAGAAAGGCATCAATATTTCAATTTCTTAAAAGTTCACACTAACTGGCCAATAATGTCTCCATCAGGAAACATAGCATTAACAAACAAGCTGTTTAGTTTTCCTAAGTTGTGGCTACTAAAAGTCATAACTCACATTAAACCTTGAGGATCCTTGGAGTTTTTTTGTTGTTGTTTTTTTTTTACAATTATGCTTTTATTGAGTTTTCACAACAATAATAACAAAACAACAAAACATAATACACACAAATCAGTTGTAAAATAAAGCACAATAAATACTAGTTGTCTGAAGACCTTCAATGCACATACCGTACAGGATTGAATTAGTCATTCACTTACTCATTGGTGTCAACCATGTAAATATTCCACTTTTCCCATTTCCTATTGAATGCATTCTCTTGGATTCTCAAAACATATGTCAACTTCTCCATGACAAAAATATCTTGAACAATTTCCAGCCACTGCTCCTGAGTCGGAGCGTTCACATTAAGCCAATTTCTGGTTATAGCTTTCTTACTCGCTGCAAGTAAAACCTTAATCAAATATAGATCGCCTCCCATCCCAACATCCTTAATGTTCCCAAGATACATCACCGGGCAGGTATTTGGGATTCCATAACCCAAAATAATTTTGACAACTGCATTAACCTTCTCCCAATATGACCTTATCTTTGTACAGTTCCAGAAAATGTGTGAGTGGTCAGCCTCCATGTTCCAGAATCCTAGGAGTTTTTTTAATGAAGCTGCCACATTGTAATGCTGAAAGATCTCTGATAATGTTACAGAAACCTTCTTAAACAGTTAACTTATTCAGATGGTTAAATGTAAGTGGACTTGTCAACATTAAAGAAACAAGGCATTAGATTAAGGCTAACAGAATTAAAAGAGGCAAAAACAGAGACAAGCTGGGAAAAAGAAACAAACATTCTGCTGAAAGCGAGTACAAACTGTGAAATGCTGAAGCGGGGTCAACCCTCCCCTCTCTTGCTTATTTCCATCTGCTGTTGCCAGCGTCTGCCACAGAGTGGTGCCGACACCGCTGTCTTGGAGTGAGGCAGGGCCAGCCCCGTGTCCTATAAACACACACAAATCATTTACATGCTGTACTCATCAAAGGCAACTCTTCCTCATCTCCGCCGAGATGTGCTGCTGATCTGAGCTTCCAATATTGCATCTCAGAGCGTCGCGGCTAACCTTTGCAACTGCCAAGAATGTGATTAATTTTTTAAATACAGCTGTTGACCTATTATTGAGATGGAGAGGAGCCACGAGAGACACTCATCTCCTCTCCTCTGTATAATGGAATGCATTATTGCATCAGTGTTTACAAGGCGTGCTAAAAGAGAAACAGAATGTGGGAGAAAGTATTAAATAAAGCAATTCGGCTAATGTCGCTTTGGGCCTTGTGCACACACAAAATGTCAATCAAAACTTGCCATCTTTGATTCATTGCAGTTTGCTCAGGCTGTTGCATCTGAGAGTAGAGTGGTGACACAATGTGGAACAATAATTACCCTGCAGTGTTAAAGTCCTCCAGTGTCTTGGTGCATTCATAAATAAAATATGTTCAAGATAATGGATTTATGTTCAATAATTCATCATCAGAATGTTGCAAACCGAGTGATATAATATGTGTCACAGTATTCTGTAACACAGTGCTTAGCCAAATTAAGTTATCTTGAAACAGATTTATTGACAGTGCTGTTGCTGCATTCATTTACTCAGCAACCATTGCTTAATTACTCCTGCAAAGCACATAAAACAAACAATGCCAATACACTGATTCTAAACCACTCAGTGTCAGTATTAACTACACAGCAGGCTAACTATGAATTCAAGGCAGGACCAAACAGCAGTGAACATTACACACTCTCAAGCACTCTGAGTGGGATTGAGGAGAGGAGCAGCAGGGGGACTGTGATATTTGTCATTCATGACCTTAGTGCTAGCCAACCATACAGGCAGTTTGGTTTGATGACCCATCAGAGAATCTGTCTGGGTCCTTGCAGAAGCCAGTGGACCGGGTTGAGGGAAGAGGGTGGCATCCAGGGCTGCGGTCTGTTCAGCTGGACCGGGGTCAATCAGTGGGCCTGAAGATCCAGAGCCAGCTGGAGAGCCATGATACGCCTGGCCTTCATGTCCAGAATGTCCCATTCCCAGTCGCAGGAGCAGGCATTGCTGGCATGCTGGAGAAAGCCACTCATCCTCATAATTAATGACACGAGTTTGTATGGTGTATGACCAGAGCAAGCAAATTGTAGCATAGCATCAAGTTGCATGTGTGAAAACCCTGAAAAGTAATTCAAAATAAATAGTCTGTAATGAAGGTGACATGTGTTATTATGTTGCAATGTAAACGTTGAAGCACAAATAAGCTCCACTAGTGTAAAACAGGGCATACCATGATTGTGTTTAAACCAGCCGTCTCGGCGACAAACAAATACAAATGAAAGAGATGCACTGGCAATCAACAGCAACAAGATGCACATTTTTAGAAAAGCCAACAGCATTTCATCAAAACACACACACACATTGTGTGCTGCTTCAATCTAGACGAAGCTTAAGCATTCAACGGGGGAAGAAAAAATAAAACAATTTACATGCAAATCAAACCTTATCATCTAAATCTCTTTATGCCACTTTCGCCTGCAAAATTGCATTCATATGCACAAAGGCATTCAATTACTGTAGCTGTGGCTCAACTTCTCACATCTCAGCGTTTTCTATTTGGAGAGGCAGGCCCATGTACATTTAATAGGTAGCCATCCTGCTCCGCGGCTCTGCCAGAGATCACTGCGAGTGTGTCAGTTAGAGGAGATGGCAGCATGTATCAGTGCATGAAATAAAGCTCCTGCTCCAAAGTGACAGGCCCTGGATATTGTTAGAAAATGGATGTTAAATTCACTCTGCAACCACCAACAGCAGCCCCGGTTATGAAAAATTAACTGTACTCTGGCTAAAGGGAAGGGAAATTGCTTTGCTAGATATACCACCAAATCCTGTTTGTGAGCTATCCATCTGTCAGATCTCTTTGCAAAAAAAAAAAAAAGTCCTTCAGCTTTCTCCATTAAAGAGTCTCCTCTCATATGCTGTTCTGAGTAATCCAGTATGAAAGCGGAAACAAAGAGATGTCAAAGAGATTTAAAGTAAATCCTAATCTATACCGTACACTACAAGTCAGTAAAGAGGAATGGCTCCAAGGACCTCATAACAACAGAGATGCAAAGCGCATGTCAGCCACCGGAGGGCAGTCATACTGATGGTTCTCTGCTGCAACCTTAAACAACCCACTCTTTACAGCTTCTGTGTGAGTCACTACATTGTGATCTGAATATCTGGAAATGATTAGGAATTTATTTCATATTCAGCCTGTGATGATTCAGTGGTCTGCAGCATGGTTTTATAATGACATCCCTGGAGTAAGGTAAGGTACAGGGAAAAAAGCAATAAAATAGATGAAAATTACAAATGTAACTTATTACAAATAGTGGCTATAACAGTATTTGCATATAGTTCTCACGATAGGATCGTCACACTAATGTCACATCATAGAAAGCATATAACACAGTGATAACATTCAAATCTATCAGATACTTAACAGAACAAAACCAAAGAAGAGAAAAGGATCAATCAATATAACCAGCTTTGTGTTGTTATATGGTTTACTGAGGCCTTTTCAACCTGAGGTGAGTTTTCACATCTCGCCACCAGAGGTCAATGTAACCATTTAAATAACTTTGGCCTGTCTACAGCTGGGCGTCTGTGTGTCTCTACTGAAGAAGTAACATACTTTGAGATACATCACAAACAAATAATTTTAAATTAGATAATTGGAATGATACACATAATGAAATCCTAGTGAAAGAACAGAGACCCTCTTATATGTGTAACCAGGAGGCAGATGGACTGACAGGTCATTTTAAATGTAAATAAGTACATCATAAATGCAATCAATATAAGTTACTCACCAAACCAACTGCAATAACATAGCCTGTGCCCAAATATTAGTTTAATTCAAATCAAGCAGTATATGTTAAAAAAAAATGCACGTAGTTTACGGTTAAATGATTTGCATCAACCATGATGGAATATAACTTCCAATAATTTCTGCAACATTTAGTTCTCAAAAGAGGCGTGATGTCGAAATATGTAGGTTCACAACAATTGCAATAATTGAACAGTCCACCAGCAATGAAGTGTCATTTCTGGACATACTTTTTAATTCCAAGAGAGTATCTAACTCGTGTTTTGTAAACAGGCCGAGTGATAAAGTCACCCACATGAGTAATGGTGAAATCATTCCTGTGTTTGATTGCTCCTATTTCTCAACCTGGAGCGTGCGCAGAAAGCTCTCGGGAGAAAAGTGCATGTGCAAGCAGAACTGAGAAAGTTCATAGAGCCGAGGTGCAGGATGTCCCGTTGAGGAGAAAAAAGCCCTGCAGAGGAGCAGAAGCAACACAAGCTGACGGGGGAAAGGAGTGCAACTCAAAGCAAACAGCATTTACCAAAGCTTGTTTTTTTGTGAAAATGGGCTCTTCGATGATATTCAGCTGTCGTCGGATTGTTCTCAAAGTGTTTTTGTTTCAGTTCATCGCTTTTCAATCAACATATGCTGCCCCTTCGCCTATTATCAGGTTTCCAGGAGACGATACTCCCAGAACAGACAAAGAAGTTGCTCTGGTAAGTTTATTGCTTGTTTTTTTCCAATAACTTACTTACTGGGTCAGTCAACTGTAAAGTGCTGGGTAATAAATTGCATTTAAGTGTTGCAATCATTTCATATGAATACTTTGCCTATTTCAGAAGAGTTTAACCATTTGTATGTCTGTTTTTCTCCTTAAGCACTATCTGAATAAGTTTTATGGATGCCCACAAGACAGATGTAACCTCATGGTGCTCAAGGACACCCTGAAGAAAATGCAAAAGTTCTTCTCTCTGCAAGAAACTGGAGAGATTGACCCCAAAACTGTGGATATCATGAAAAAGCCCCGCTGTGGCGTCCCAGATGTGGCCAATTACCAATTCTTCCACAGGAAACCCATGTGGCAGAAAAAAGACATTACTTACAGGTCAGAGAATTAACTTTACCTACACATTTACTGAGCAAGCATTGGATTATCTTGCACTTTAAGAGCTAAACTGCATCCTGCAAGGGGGGGTTTATAATGGGAGTGGGTCCCAGTTAATTCTAACTAACTTAGTAATACTGGTAAAAATGACATCATGGAAGTTTTAAGCAGTATGGCCCATGTGAAAGGTAATAAGATAACACCTTAGCCGAGGTATTTTGATATGCATTGCATGTAAAACCACATCAGTACATTATAATACAGTATAGTGTTTGCCAAAGTTAAAATGAGTTTACCCCACCCAACTACTTCCCATAAATCCAACCGTAAGTATTGAGAAACTACTTGAAATATGTCTGAGTCACTCAATATCCCTACAGTTTGAACATAATTCCTAAAGCTGCTTTTGATGAGTGAACAAAAGTATAAAAACAAAGCCAGAGTCTGTTTGTTTTGAGAGATGGACCACAGCTTGGCCCCGCCTGACCCCCCGTCCACCCCACCCCCATCCACACAGTAATTGCGCCCTTGCATCTTGTGTCTTGCTTACACCAGCATTCCTACACAGTATGTGTCAGGTCTTTTGTTTTCGTGCTGTTTGAGGGTTACAACAATGTGGAATGGGTTTCTTTATATCAGCGGTTTTCTCTGTCCCTGTTCATTCCAGCCCATCTGCTTGTGTGTTTGTAAGAAGGACTGGGAGCCAAAGTCAACAGCAACTTAGAGATCATATATTTTGTTTTTCATACTGTACAACAGGGTTTGTGGTTGAAAACTGTTTGATAAACCATTTTCACCAGATATTTTTACCAGTGTTTCAGTTATTTTCCATGATCAGATGGAAGGCACAATAGATTTAAAGATAATTCTACACGCTTTTCTTAACATGACACATACAAAGCCATCATCACTTTCCCGATTACACGCATTTTCTTGTTTTTATGGTATATGTTGTCCTAGTTTCCATGGTTTGTCTTGCTTTTCAATGAATCTGACTCTGACTCTGTGAACTTTGTAGAATCCTTGGATACAGCCCCGACCTGGACGAGGGAGTCATTAATGATGCTTTCTTCAGAGCCTTCAAAGTGTGGAGCGACGTCACCCCACTCACATTCGAACGCTTAATGGACGGAGAGGCTGACATCATGATTAACTTTGGCCGCAATGGTATGCCATGTATAAAGACAAAAAAACGTTTACAGATATTGTTTTAAACTCCATCATCTTCAACTGAAATTCCTTTAAGAATAGGTTTATTTTATAGTGAAATGTTTCCATGTGACTTTAAAAAAAAACCTTCATCTTAGTAACTGTTTTGAGCACTTTTGTTGGGATACGGGGAACATAAGTCCATGCCTGCCTACATACTAAGTTGTCTTTATGTGGCACGGTATTGCAGGTTAAAACTCAATGATCTTAGCACAACAAAAACACATTTTTGTTACATGTCTTTATTAGGATCCCCATTAGCACGAGCATGAGCATTGGCTATTCTTCCTGGGGTCCTCACACACACAAAACATACATACACATACAACAAAATTAAAACAAAACAGCTCATCATTTCATGCAATTTACAGCGCTGTATGAAATGAAAACTAATATGGTCATCCAATTATCGCCATCCTAAGGCCAAACAAAAGTAAATACAAATAAGTGTACATAATAATATATGCATACATAGCCACAGGCACAGTTCACATTGACTTTATAATACTGAAATAATTGTTTAGCAACCTTTTGATATGTACTTGAGAATGTTCCTAAATGATATGGAAGAGTTCCAGCTGACCTTCAACATGAAGTTGCTTTCCACTTCCAAGAAGATAAACAGTTGAACCAAAGTTCACTGGCGTATGCTGAAGGAGCAATAACATACATGTTATTACAGTGACTCTGCACACCTCCAACCTATATTTTAGTAACACCTCTTCACTCAAGTCATTTCAGTTGTTCCAACCAAAACAAACATTTCATATTTACACAGTGTCATAATATCAATCTGTCAGCCGTAGGGGACAGTGTCAAGAAGGAATCTGACAATTATAGTGAAACACAAACAAAAAATAACCACTTCAGGAGATGTGAAACTGTTGTTTTTTGGTAAGAAAAGTAACAAGGAATATTTTATTGATTTAATGCACACACACACAAATGTTGCATGGAGTAAGAAACATACTCCCCAAATGTTTTTTTTAGTATTTCCTCTTCAAAATAGTTTCTCTTGACACGTATTGCCTTGCTAATTTCTACAAGGCGGTTCCATCTGTGCACGTTTAGAAAGAAGAAAAATGACATCTGATATTTGTCTTGACGTGTTAATATGGACTAATGTAACCCACAGAGCATGGAGATGGTTACCCCTTCGACGGCAAAGACGGCCTCTTGGCTCATGCCTTTGCTCCGGGACCAGGAATTGGCGGAGACTCTCACTTTGATGATGATGAGCAGTGGTCGCTGGGAGATGGCCAAGGTAATGGGGAACGAAAAGCTTATTGTATAACCTCCTATAATGTGTATTGATTTGTGTAAATATTGCTAAGTAAGTGTTTTTTCAAATCCATATTCAATCTTTTTTTTGGACACAAAGTATAGGTTGAGATTACCGGCCATACCTACGCAAAAAATGACATTGATAATACATTTGACTTTCAAATACTTTTGTTTACATTTTCTTAACTTTGCCTGAACTTGCTGGCACTAGATATGACAAACCTCAGCCATCTGGAAGCTGAATAGAAAAGAAAATCCCCTTTGCAGGCATTTGTTTTTGCACATATTGACCCAGATAGTTTCATGCATTTCACATTATTGAGGATCCTATCATCTGAATTAATCATTTCTGCAGAAGTAATCTATAAACCTATTATCCCATTCTCATGGAGCGAAGAAATCTCACAATATGAAGTGTTTTTCCTATTTTATCAGTGCTTTGGGAAGTTTTATCCAATTTACTACAATAAATGTATATACCATATCATTGCTTTTGTATTGTGTAAGGGAGAGTACTTGTTAAAATATGTCAATATGATCCTTAATCTTTTCAACAGTGGTGAAGGTGAAGTTCGGCAATGCTGATGGGGAGTTCTGTAAATTCCCCTTCCTGTTCATGGGCACTGAATATAAAAGCTGCACACCTCAGGGTCGAGACGACGGCTTCCTGTGGTGCTCGACCACTTACAACTTTGAAGAAGATGGCAAATATGGCTTCTGCCCTCATGAACGTAAGTATTTCCTGTGGCTGTCTTCTTGTTTCCTTCTAACACATTTGCTGTAGTGTGTTTATATATTTATTTTGTGGCCCCACATGACCTCAGTGGTTTCATCCCCTACTTGCATCCAAACTGAAATTGAAGCAGTGTCTTTTATACTGTCGAAGCAATACTTCAAACCAGATTTTTGTTTTATTCAAAGCTTTTCTGCTGATTATGGACAGAAAGAAAGTAGGTTGAGCAGTATGCCAGGAAAGAGTTGTTTTTCGCTTGGAATGGATTATGGAATATCTCTTTTCCAAGTCGCTGCCCCACTTTACAACACTGGGCTTTGTTAAACATTTTGTTTATCTGTGTTGTATTGCTGTCCATGGTACTAACATGATTACATGCCCATTACAACGCCAAAGTACACATGTACCGAGTTGAGAACACGAGTGAGGCCTGTTTGTACTGGAGCCGTCTCTTTTGTTTCGCTTTTTTTCTTTTTATGTAAAAAAGTCCCATTCCATCTTTTTTATATAACTTTGAACACATTGTCTTACATCATCACCCAGGGGTTAAAGGGTCTAATTTATTGTAGGGATCATGTAGGAATTGGAGCAAATGCTTTGTAAGCATTGAACACATTTAATACACTTTTTATTATTTTCTCTATAACACCTTTTGTCTTTGTTTGTTTTACAGTACTGTTCACCATTGCTGGAAACGCAGAGGGCGCTGCATGTAAATTCCCCTTCATCTTTCAGGGAGAAAAGTATGATTCATGCACGACTGAAGGCAGGGATGATGGTTACCGCTGGTGTGCCACCACTGACAACTATGATGTGGACACGTCCTTCGGGTTCTGCCCTGAGACTGGTGAGTGGTGTCTTCTGCTGCCTGGAATTATGGTCCCTATCCGATAAACAGAGAACCTTTAAATTAGTACTTTTGTATAGCCTGCATTGTCTTTTTCTTATTTTCTGGAAGCCATCCAAGGGAAGTTAATCAGAGGAATTTATCTCAATTTCAATATAAAAATGTTACCTTTGAAAAGCTAACTTAGTCTATTTTGGGGAAACAGGCCTACACATAAAAAAGCAACTCTTGTCATTTGTTAACAACTTTTGCTTGTTGTTTGCTAGCTAGCCGTTACCATTATTGTGTAGCTTGAATCAGCATGCTAATTGAGGGGTTTTAGGGAATATATTTTCATTCAAACTTAATGGTAAAACATTTATTTGTTGTCCACTTTAAACCACAAGTCTGCAAAAAGCGCACATTGTCATCTGTAATCTTTATGTTACCTTTCCCCAACTTGCTAGCTTGTTGGCATGTTTCACATTGTAGCCTATGCATTAAACAAATGATTGTTTTTTGGGCTAATTAATGGATTATGGACACTTATTGTTTGGATAAATACCATGTCATTTCTCTACAAACATACAATACAACTTAAAAAATGGTCTAAAACCCTATTTCCATATTATACCTGTTAATTCCCTTGGGAAGTTTCCACTTTGAACATTCCCGGAATTTCACAACAGAAGTCCTGTTTAAGGGTTATGTGCTCGCTGTATACACTGTGTTTTACTGTCTTTGGTGTGCAGTATAAGGTGCCCTGCCGTGTGTTGGTTTACAGGAATGCTTAAGCTGGGGTTTTCGGTCTTGCTCGCGGTCTGCTGAGTGGCTGTGAAAGTATTTTAATGTGTAGTGGCAGGGCTTATTTTCCATTCTGTCAGAGGGACTGGCTTTAGTTTTGAGGTAGTGAAGTAGGATGGGGGGATAGACGGAGAGACATATGACCACTGGAGCTTTCATCTGGTACTAATTGGTTAGGAAAGTAGCTTTGTTGTAAAGCTGCGTGCGCTACCTTGTGCTGAATAAGAAATTATTATAAAAAAAACTGCACTCAACCAGTCTTGCCAGATTGAAAACGATCTCTCTTTGAAAGAAAATCAATTTGGGCGGGTGCTTGTTGGTTTTGGGCCCAGTTGATTAGATATTGATGTCATGTGTGTTGTGCCAGTGCTTTCATGATGCTGTTTTCAATACCATCTGTGCTTTTTCACAATACAAACTGTTTTGCGGATATATTCTGGCATATAAATTGACTCAGTTTACTACACGTTTTACTTCTTCAGTTAACTTTTGTTTCTCCCCCTAGCCATGTCCACTGTTGGAGGAAATGCAGAGGGAAGCCCCTGCATCTTCCCCTTCACTTTCTTGGGTGACACCTATGAGGCCTGTACCTCATCTGGGCGCAGTGATGGCAAGATGTGGTGCGCCTCCACCAAGAGCTACGATGATGACCGCAAATGGGGTTTCTGTCCTGACCAAGGTAGGAAAAGTCATTGGGACAGTTCGTAGGGGTCAGCTCTATTATGTCAGTCTGAATTGTCTTGATTAAATTCAAAACTTAAGTCTTTTGGCACTCCCAAGAAAAAATGTTTACGCTACTACGGACAGTCTTGCACTAATGCTCAAAATCTCAAAGATATTGAAGTGAGTGTTATTTTGTATATATTGATTGTTGTGCTTTTATTTAGGTCTTAATGTGTGCATATGTATAAATGTGTCTTTGATTGTGTATATATAGGTATATTTGCATGCATATTTTTATATACAGTATATTTGTTTTTGTATTCAGGATTGTGGGAAACGGTATTTCGATCTCTCTGTCTGTACACACAAACTGAAAGATTGACAATAAAGTTGACTTTGACTTGACTTTGATATGTCCCAACATCAAGGTTCAAGGTTCAAGGTTCAAGGTTCAAGGTTCTTTATTGTCAAACTAACATAGCTACAGAGTAATTATGTCGTTGAAAATCTTAGGTCACAGGCTTCTCCAACAATGCAACATAATAATACAGATAGTAAAAGTAATACAAAAAGAAAAATAGTTCTAAAATAAAGTGGAATAGTGCAGTACGAGTCATGCCCCGGTAGAATGTATTTAAACACAGAAACACCTCTTCATATGATCTAATTACCAACTCCCACTGTACAGTATCATTGTTTTGTGAACAGGACAGTCAACATTGTCTCTTTGTGCTGCTTGTTCCCAGGCTACAGTTTGTTCCTGGTGGCCGCTCATGAGTTTGGTCATGCCCTTGGCTTGGAGCACTCTCAGGACCCCGGAGCATTGATGGCCCCCGTCTACACTTACACTAAAGACTTCAGACTTTCTAATGATGACATCAACGGCATCCAGGAGCTTTACGGTGAGATGAAATGTTATCTGTGGCTAGTTTCCTGCACAGGGATCAAGCCTAACCCTAGAACAAAAACAATACAAGTACCGGTATGTTTTCTTTCTTGTAAGAAGCAAGGAAAGGCTTATGTACAGTGAGTGTGTAATCACTCCTTGATGAAAGATGAATTACTGTAATTTGTTAACTCTCTTATAAACAGGTGGGTCGACAGACAAGCCTTTGTCTCCAACCCAGGGTCCAGTCACTCCAATGGACATCTGTAAAGAGCCAGTTGTCTTTGATGCTGTAGCACAAATCAGAGGAGAGACCTTCTTCTTCAAGGACAGGTAATCAAATTAAACAAAAGGTCACAGTATTGATTGCCCTAAATGAGATTTCAGCAACTGAGCATATGCTACATTAAGACCAAATGTGGTCGAGCACTGACAATGAATCCATAAAATCAAAGTTCTTACCCATCTTGTTTGATTATGCTAGCTGCATATCTTTTGTTTGCTCTCTGGGTCATGAAGACATTATGAAGTCCATGGTTTACTCTCTTGAATCTTGCAAGCACTGCCAAAGTCTGGTTAAATTTCCTGTCCTTGATCCATTGGAAGATAGACAAACAAAACCCAACAGTCTACTTCTGGCTTTATGATTTTGCAAGTGAAATAAGGCAGCCTTCACAAGTCCGATGTTATCAACATTTGCCCACATACAATGAGCAGTTTGACATGAGGTTTCTTGTTAATTATAGTTTATCTTATTGCAAATGTGTGCCACTTAAAGATTGGGAATTAGATGCTTGTTTCATGATGTGACAATTAGTAGGAGGGACAAACAAACTGCCTCTCGATGGCAGTGCCAACCAAAATAGTCATTATTCATAAACACAGTCTACAGGCAGTCCTCTGCAATGGCGCCAGTGAATGTAAAGTCTTGTAAGCTCACTGTGTGTACTTGCTGACCGTGCATCGAAGAGAAGTGATATGATTTCGTCAACAGTCTTTGCGAGTCAGTGGAGGTTCACGTAGTAAAGTAAACATTTACATCACAACAGCTGAATTTTGCTACTTATAAATGCTCCTAAAAGTTACTTAAAACAAATGCAACAAAGTGGTTGAAAAGGAACTTATAGAAAACTCAAACAGTGACCTTGTCAGTTATGATGTGTTAATGCTTCTAGCTGTGCTATAACATCAACTCCTAGGTTTTTCATGATTAACAGAGCTGTATACCTGTCATGGCCATAAGTGTGTCCAAAGCAAACAGGCCAGCATACCTCCGTACCAAAGAGTGTAGTCATTCAGTTGACTGGGTTTTCCTCTCTGAGAACCTTGGGTTAGAAAAAGCCACACTCCTGCTCACAAATCCTGCTTCAATGCAGATTGACTTTTCACCTTCTGTGGCTCTCTGACACACAAATGAACAGTGCTCGTCAGAGGACGCACAGACAAACTTCGGCATGGCAGTTTATGATCATTCATTTTAACACATGGATGCCAAAATGCATTAGGTGCTTGTAGGGTTTTTGAAGCTATGATATTTATTATAGTCCGTATATTTTATTTGAGTCAAGAGACTTCACTACTCTTTGGGTATTTGCAGCTAAACCAAATTCAACAGATGTACTTCTATCATAATCCAGAGCAATCATTTGCAGCATGTGAGGAAAGGCAAATTCACCTGCCATGTACATTAGGTGGAATTTGTCAAGAATTAGAAGAAGAATTGGGAGGGATGAAACCCTCTTTAATGGTCACACATGCAGAGCACACAGCACACACAGTGAAATGTGTCCTCTGCATTTAACCCATCCTAGTACCAGGAGTCTAGTACTAGGAGCAGTGGGCAGCTATTGTACATCGCCCGGGGGAGCAATGGGAGTGAGGGGGGAAGGGGGGATGTCCGGTGCCTTGCTCAAGGGCACCACGGCAGGGTAGGAGGTGAACTGGGTCCTCTCCAAGTAGAAGTCCACACTCCATATTTAGGTCTGGTCGGGGACTTGAACCGGCGACCCTACGGCTCACAGTCCAAGCCCCTACTGTCTGAAACCAGAGCCCAGTCTGCTCTGATTGGTTAGCTGGCGGGCTGTGTTGTGATTGATCAACAGCTTAGAAATGTCCCACCCCTTAGCCTATCACGTACAATGTGATGGAGCGCTAGCCAATACAAGCTTGAGGGTCACATAGTGATGTCACAATGTTAAGGAAGTAAACAAATGAGTCAAATGGAGGCGTTTCAGGTAGGGGGGGGGATGAGTGTTCGGGAGAGAAACTCCCTCTTTGGGATTTGAGCCTTTGCAGACCATTTACATGCACATAAACCTATTATAACACAGTACGTGAAAGGTAAAACGCCTAAAAGCATAGTAGGGCCCCTTTAACAGTTGCTTTACCCCAAAATGATTTGTGTTTAATGTTTGGCCAAGATCAGCATCTGACTGTTTGTTCCTCCCTTATTTAACCATAAACGGCTGTGTGATATGTTCAAGCAATTCTTGAGTTGATATTTGAATATCAAGTAATATGTAGGAGGCTACAGTATATCAGGTTTTTGAGTTGTACAGTTCTAATACTAGCTACATTTTATAGCTGTAGAAACAAAAAGTTTCCCTCTGTGCCCCAGGGCTAATGCTCACTTGACTCTAAAAATTAAGTTTAGATCCCCCCCATTTTCTTTCTGGATCAGCATATTTATAATGTACAGTAGGACAAATCTTGACATGACTGAATGGTAATATGTATGGCACTCCCTGAGCTCAGCATAAAACTGTGCCTGCCTGTCTGGAGGCTTAAGGAGAAAGCAATTATTATAAAGACGCATAGAAACAGTGTGGCCAGCCTACTGACTAGGTCTGTTGCAAGGAAGCAGTTATTTGCTTATAAACTAGCGTGTTGCCAACAGAAGCTATTTACTGTTTGTCCATTCTTTTCTTTAAGTTGTAACCCTTCAGATTTCAGTCCTGGTTAATTTGGTGACACCACTGGGGTCAAATAGTTTTGATAAAGAAGTCAATCAAAAATAATAACAATCGCTAATCAGATTTTACATTGCAAGTAGTTTTCCACACAACAGCAGAGCACAGTACTGTAGAGCTGGTTTACATGCGGAGGAGTGAGCAGTGTGTAGCCTGCAGCTGTTCATGTAACAGCTCACTGTGGCTGCTTCTTCTTTTTCCATTACTCCCTTTCAAACATGTACAATCATCCCCTGACTGCAGAGTGCAGAAAAAGACTGTGACCATTGCATTTTAAACAATGATTTAAAATCACGGTCAGCACTAACCATTGTTAGCAACACATTGGGTTTCCAGTGGCTGCTTCACAGTAGAAATACTCGTGTTTGAACGCTTTTAATGTAAAGCAATGGCAATGGCAGTAGGACACACTCTGTTTGCATTAGCAGTAGCTAAAACAGCTCACAGTATATAACAAGTGAACATTGAGGCTGTAAGATAGAGATTGAATTGCACTCCCTTACACAATGACCTGTAACTCCCTCATGCTATGTTGGTTATATTGATGAATCCAGCTTGGGAATGGAGGTCAATACTAATGACACCATATGCTAGTGAATGTAGACATATTGAAGGGCTATGGTAAAATTAATGCTGTCAATAAATAGTATACATTTTTATTTTATTTCAGGACAATCTTAAGAATTGTAACTTTAAAACAGGCGAGTTCATAGAGTACAGAGAACAATCCTCTTAACTGCCAGTTGGCTTTTCCACTGAATCTGTTGCCCAACAGCAGCTAGCAAGTTTTAGAGTTATGGGAAATCACATTACCTACACTTTCCAGAAGTCAAACTTGTGTGGGATACGAAACCTGTTAAAGTCGTGGCTGATGACATACCAGCCAGACAAGAGTAAGAGTAACAATATGGTTCTATCGTAATGCTCGTAATCAACTTTCATTGCAATTATGACATTGCTTTGATTACAACAAATGCAGGATAAATGGATGACCTACTTGAATTTCGAAGTCTCAGCAATGGCTTGGAAAACTGATGTGCGGTACTTTAACTTCAACTTGGCTATATCCTGTGAGTGTATCCTTTTAACCATCCATCTGGACGGATGTTTATTTTTTATTTAAAATGTAATAAAGAAAGGAAGAAAAGACAGAAAAGCCCTCTGGATATTGTTGGTACACCGATCTACAAGAACACTGTTAAAATAATGCAATTTGAAGATGGTTTGTTCAGATTGAAATATGTTGCCTCTTTCCTTTTGACAAATGTTTACAAAACGTTGTGTCTGTTGTGTCTCATCTCCAATTCTGACCACAATTTTTTGGGAATTGGCTGATATTTTTCTTAAAAATAGGTCAGTGGAAAAGGCTTTGGGAATCTGCCGTTGTTGTGCAGCTGTGTATTGGAAATCCAGGCAAGATAGGTCTTGTTCCGCTGGCGTCTGCAGCCTCAGTCCTAACGAGAACCAGATGCTCATGAATCAGACCATTGTGGCTGCACTTGCACTAAAACCTCCTCACATACACACATACACACACTTCCCCCACCTCCTCCTCATCATCCCCCTCTGCCCTTCTTCCACTCTCACTCGTACAGCCGCTCACCCACTCATTCTCTTTCTGCCAGGTTCCTGTTCAGGTCAGTAAACTTCAGAAGCAAGCCCACCGGCCCGATGCTCGTGGCCACCTACTGGCCGGACCTGCCTATCAAGATAGACGCTGCATATGAAAACCCAGTGGAGGAAAACACAGTGTTCTTCGCAGGTATGCTGGAGAAATCAAGAAAGTTTCAAGTTCAAGTTTCAAGGCTTTTATTGTCATGTGTGCATAGCTACAGTGTAGTTATGACAATGAAGATCTTAGGTCACAGGCTCCTCCAACAGTGCAACACAATAAAACAGATAAAATAGTACAAGTAAATAACATAAAATATAATATAATAGAAACAGAATATGATAGAAACTGTGCAGAATAACTGTGGATAGTCAGCTGACCTAGACCTCTCTTAATACGCTTCATATCCTCCTCCAGATATAAAGAGCTTCTTCACTTTTTTACCATTTTGATTCGCTTTACAGTGTTGTTCCTACAAACTGAAATTTTAGGAGAAGCAGGAATGTTGGCTGAGCACTCTTCAGTGCGGTGTGCACTCCTGGAACACTTAAGATATTTGACCATAGTTATTAGTGGTTTATGAAACATTCCTTGCATTTTATTAATATGACAACCTTCCTGAATACTGATGAACATTACAATGTATCAGCTTTAAGGAGATTAACAGCAGGGCTGGTTTGTCTGTAGAAGATGCATAATACCCTACATGGCTAATTGATGATCTCATGCTAAGATATAACACATTTGGTTAATATATTTGCAGCAATATGGGATACTACCGTGATCACACAGTTCTGTTTTAACATACTTACCGTGCATTAATAAAACACATGTCTTCAGTGTTATTGTATCCCTGGTTCTACTTTTCACTTACTCACTCTTCCCTCACAGGTAATGAGGTGTGGGTCTACAAAGCAGACGCGCTGCAGTCAGGCTATCCCAAGAGGCTCTCCAGCTTCGGACTTCCCACTGACCTGGCGAAAATTGACTCTGCCTTCAACTTCAGGAAGAACAGGAAGACTTACATGTTTGCTGGGGACCAATTCTGGAGGTGAGGAGGGGCAAAGATTATCTAAAAATGTGTTAGCCTCAAATCGTTGTCAGACACACCACACCCTAGCTTGTGCTGTTGTGGTTATAATCTCTAGTTGCAAAACTAGGTTACGTCTGGATGTAGTTAGCAATTTGTGTGACCTCAGCTGCTCTGTAAACAGCTCTGTGTGTGGTGTGTTTGTGTGTAATTTGCTCTAATTTGAAGGATTATTGTGTAAATCCACTCTCATTTTGGGTACAGATACAATGAAGATACAAAGACAATGGACGCTGGCTTCCCAAAACTTATTGCTGATTCTTGGAATGGTCTCCCAGATGACATCGACTCTTCCTTCAGTCTTAATGGCATTGGTAAAAAAAACATTTATTATCCCAACATTTGTGAATGTACAGGCTTGGTATGAATTAATGAAGGGACATTTGACTAGAAGCTAGCAGCATGTGTTATGAATCCATGACCAAAACCGTTTTTGAAGCATGGTCGTTTACATACTTAAAGTGGACCTATCATGCTATATTTAAATGATACATTGTAGGGCCATACCTATATAAGGTATATTTATACGTTTCTGTTTTCAAAATACCAAACAGATCATGCATTTTAGCCATGCCTCATTTCGCTCTATGTGCTGTTTGCTGTCTACGGGTCTGATTCTGCTGACCACGCCCCCCTGCAGGAGAGGGGAGACGTGCTCTGATCAGCTGCTGGGCTGTCAGAAGAGGGGGAGAAAAAGAGATCTCCGTCCTCCGTGTTTTATTATACATGTCGTTATTCATTTGTTTTAAAGCTCAATAAATAACAAAGAAGACCTTTGACCGGCACTTTTCTAATTTTGTCCGGAAGATTTAAACTTTAACGGACATCTTGACCGGCGAAAGTAACTGAAACTGAAACTCTGCCGCACGGTCCCCTCGTTCCTTGGAAGAGGCGGAGAGGTGGGTGTTTGTCATCTGCTGGTGGACTAACCGGAGATAATTACAGTGCTTGCCTCGACGGGGAGGGATTGCATTGAATTAAAGCAGCGGGAGCAAACGCTTGCCTCGGGGAGGGAGAAAAAAAGCCACAGCGGAGAATAAACAGAAGGGTAACCATGGTAACTATGGACGGGAAGTCTTCTTCGCTGCTTTTGTGGCAGACTACAGCACCACTTACAGGCCTGACATATGTACTACAGCGTCTCCAGCGCTTTCGAGCGGCAATGGCCGGCCGTGGCCCAACCCCACATTCCCCTGATAGGTGGAGAGTTGGCCCAATAGCCGTAGCGCCACTTCTGTGACGTCATAGAAGTGTTCAAATCTGGATCAGTCTGTATCAGATCCGTTGCAGCCCCTTTTTTAGAGATTTGGGTATGGAGGAAAATAGAGAGGGTTGTGTTTTCTGACACTTGGTGAGTTCCCTGGAACACCGGGGACACATATTCATGTATAAAAGACGTACAAAAGTGCATTTTGCATGATAGGTCCCCTTTAATATTACTGTAAACCATTTTCTTATGTTCACCATACATATACATTTAAATTTCTAACTGTATCTTCCGAGCAGCACTGGTTTCAAGCCCAGTCTGACCATGTCACTAGCATGGCTCAAAATGAACCATATCGTTTCGTGACAATCTGAACACCACAAGGGTATGCTCATTTTATATACATTAAATATTTTCTACAATAAAGTACACATCCCTCTCAGAAAGACACAAGGTAGCAAATGGCATTCTCGGCCTGAAACTCTGTTTGAGTTTTGAAGAAGACCTAAGGGGAACAATTATTTGTGGTGTGTGTGGTGCTTTGATTAAAGCTGGTGCTCTGGGTGCTAATCTACACTTTTCAAACTAGCATTCCTTGTGGTTAGATTGCAGGGAAATCCAGTCAGCTCTATCAACATTCTGGCAATATGCCTCTGTCAATACAAACCCCTTAACCACAACTCAGCAATTATGTTATCTAGCCAGAAAATAACAGTTTCAGGGAGCTGCCAAAGTAAAACAGGACAAAAGGGAGCAGTTCTGAAGTTAGGGAGTCATCTTTGGCCTGATAGAAAACAGTGTGGGGGAGCAGTTTTTGTATATCTTTCATGCATTAATGAGCTGTAAGTAAATACATTATCATGGTTAGCTTTAGGGCATTGCAACTTGCATGCAAGCCATTTATAGTGGTCAATTCTTGTCATGACATCACTATTAAACTTCCCTTTAGGAGTCAGCCTTGAATCCTTGAGGTTAGAGGTGATATGCAGATGTTTAACTATGGCAGAAAACCAAGGATCTTTCTGTAACTGCTCGCCCAACTTACACAAATGAATGTAAGCATCAGGTAGCCCCTTCCCCACATAGTGAACAAACATATTACTATAAAGCAAGTCTGTGCCGCTCTACAGAGGTGCCTCTGTATGCCTCCCCATGCGCGTAACATTGGCTTTTACAGAGTGTAAGGCTTTAAACTTTGATTACATGTAATTAGACTGTTGGTTTATATGGTTATGCTAAAGCTTGATTATGTTGCTGTTACTACATGGTTAGTTTGACCTTGTTTTACACAGGCTACATACCTTCTTATTTTAAACAACGTTGTGCTTGTTTCAAACAGATTACAGCTACTTCTTCAAAGGCAACCACTATTTCAAACTGGAAGACAGCAGCTTGAAGATCGTCAAGTTGGGTGAAATCACAAAGGACTGGCTCGGCTGTTGAGCATTTCCAAAGAGTCTCACAACTAGCTAAATCATGTAATGACATCTGGCCTCATAAGGACATTGCCATAATAACGCACACATCTTGAGGTGGCCGCAGTGCACACTGTTGTAAGTTTTTATTCTGGCAACTCTGCACGCTTCTGTGGGAGACATGCCCCTTCCAGCCTGTATAACCAGCCTCCTGCTTTGTAGACAGGCACCTCGGGACCTTCTGCACAGGCAACATATGCAACTGGATATAATACTGTTTGATGTTGACATTTTGTTTTATATGCTGATGCAGATTTATTACAATATGTACTCCCCATTTGATTGTTTTATAGCTTTTGCATTTGTTTTTTAAAAACTCCGACATCAGGTATGTCAACACTGCCTTGAACGCAGTGCTATACTGTGCTGTGAGATATTGCCGTTGTTATGCAAATGTAATTCTGGAACTCTGTTTGACCCCATATGAGGAATTGATGTTGGCTTTGAATCACTTTTACTATGTCCAGTTTACTAAGTGCAGTTTTATAAATGTATGACTTTTATTTGATGTTCTCATTGTTGTTTAATACATTTGAAAAAAAATGAATTTGCACAATGTGTTTGACCGAAGATGGTGCTTTAGAGATAGCTTTTTGCATATAGTCCTATATATATACATTTTATATTCTCTGTGCTTATGTCTGACTACTTAGCATTCTCTGGATGTCAAAAAGTCGTATTCACAGGCACACATTATTCTCCATTTGGTTAGCACTTTGTATAGGACTGTAAAGGGACTGCTCAACTGCATTTCCCTACACTAATGGTACAGGGAGATTAAGGGCACAGGTTGCCCGTAGAGGCTGTATTAGTTCGCTGCATGATGGAATCATGACGAGTACCGCAGTAGTATTGTTTAATAATCTCTTTTTTTATATTCTCTGTTTTTCTCTTGGTTTTTTTAAATACCGTTGTGTTTTGTGTTGTTTTTATGCTTGTGCACTTTGTTACTGTCATCAATAAAGATGGTCAATATAATGTGGATCAGTGATAAACAGAGGAACAACATCCTATACTTGCGAAGAAAATTAAAGTGGGTTATTTATGCCATTATGAGCCTAAACGTTTTAAAAGCATGTGATTTCAGCAACCAAATACCTGTGGTGAAAGAAGTATCCAGGACGTTTTATTGAGACCAAGTAGCAATACCAAACTGTTAAAAATATTCTTGCAAGTAGAGGTCCTGCATTCAAATATAAGTGAAAGTAGGTCCTACATAATAATCATTATCACAAAGTAACTTATCAAAAGCTAAATAAACTATCAATTCGGGGAGAAATGCTTCTGTTTCTATGTCATATACAGTATACAATATATGTATCTCTCTATATATAAGTCTACTAAACTATTTATTGCTACAAACTTACCATCTTATTTACGAGCTAATCCAGTTTTGATCAACATTTGAAAAATAAAAGTGGAGTAAAAAGTAAAACATTACCTAGTACAAGTTAGTGAATTGGAAGTATAAGGAAGCATTCAACTAATCAAATAATACAAAAAATGTTATTACAAAAAGAGAAAGTAAAAATCTACTAAATATATTAAAAATAATAATTAGAAGAAATTATGAAAAAAATACAATGAATAGTATAAAAAAATTGAATAAATACAAAAAATAATAGTGATATGAAAAATAATAATAATAACCACAATTAAAAAAAAATTAAAAAAAGCCTTCGAGAGACGCCCCCCAACACCTCATAGGGACACGAAAGATATTTCATATTCGTTCGGTGAGGAGGGGCTGCCGGGCTGGCCAGCCTGAGGGATACGCCCCCAACACCTCCGAGGGGCGTGGGCATTTTTACTTGAAATAATATTAATTAAATCATAACTAAAATAATCAAATAAATTAAAATGATAATGAAATCCAACAAAATAAAATAAAAATATAATTCATAATACAATCATAAAAACTTACTTGACATAAAATATATAAAGACATTTTATATGAAAAGAAATGTTTCACTAAAACTACAAAAATTAAGTGATAAAAATAAGAATGAAATACATTACTTTTTAAAAAACAAAACTTGAAGAAATATTGCATTATTAAATGCATTGCAACAAAACAAACGTAATAACATTTTAGAGTCAGTTGAGTAAGGAGGAATTATTTTTAGTTTACATTAATGTGTTATGCCTGCACCCTGCTGTTGCAAAGTGGGAGCAATGTTTTATATTTTGCATATACTTTTTCTATTAAAAGTTTACTAACATGTCCAAATTGCACATCTTGAAACTAAACCAGTGTTATTGTTTATTACATTTCTCTGTGCACGCTATTTTTCAGAACATTTATAAGTTATACTTTTGAAAAGTAGTGGGGACAAAATTGGCCATTTCAAAAAGTGCTGAAAATGACGCCTATGGTGAAAAGGCAACTTTTCATTTCTGTTAAGAAATATACAGGACTTTCATTATGGTAGAACAAAACACATTCGTTTATGAAACTGCGCCATCTTGTGGACATTTATAAGATCTTGTAAACAAAAATGTTTACATGTCACATTTTCCCTTTAAAATCGGCGCCATTTCACTGATGCAATACTTTTTTTATATATTGTTGGACATGTTATGCACATATTGATAAAAAAATACATATCTGATTCATAATCGGTTGCACAAAGCACATGCATGGGGACTGACAGCACACCATTTTGTCTTTATGCAGCATCGGAATTGTGATACAGGTTTATAAATACGTCAAATGCATTAACAGCATCCTGCACACACCATAATAAGGTTTCACAGATTGTATAAATGGATGCAAATCCGCTTGCAGGCTTTAAAAAACACACTCTCCATGGGACTCGGACCCCGCTGCGACCACGTTGGAGGCGGAGCCTGAGACCGTCTGGTTCCGCTGCTCTGCGGTCGCGGTCGCCCGTAGGATCGTCTGATATGAGGAGAAATGTGAGAGCAAACACTCCGATGAGGAAGTGAAATGATAACATAACGGCGCCTCGACTAAAGCATTTGCCTGTTTCTTCGCTCTCTGGATTGCAATGCCGCCGCTGCGAGTCTTCACCCTGCCGAGGCAACAGTCCCTGCTGCTGCCTGCGGTCATCAACCCGTTCGTGCAAGACACCAAACTCTCCAAAGCAGCTATAATTAAAGTGAGTATGTGGTTTCAGATCAATGGTCATGTTAAGGCAAGATTTGGTAGAATATAGTCATCGCACACACATTGCTGTGTGAGATTACACGCACACAGGCTGCTGTGCAACCAGGGCCTGTAATCTTCTCCAATGAGGCTTTGACAATCGGCTTGTAAAGCACAAACAATGAGAGCCGTTGTGTGTTTTCTAGAAATCCGTGCAGTGATGTGGATTCTGGACACGTGCATAGGCATACGTCTGTGAAAAATGTAAACAGCCATAGGGTGGTTAACCACCCTGGCAGCAGTCTTCTCTGATTATGGTATAGGCCTGTGATTTATTATGTGTGTGTGCCCCTCTCCATGCAGTGTGTCCTCCTGGGGATCTTCCTGGTCCCTATTCGCGCTGTCCTTGTGTCCCTGGTTCTGATGGTGACATGGCCAGTGGCTTTCATAATAACCTTCAACCACCCTTTGAAAGGAGCCGAACCAATGACAGGATGGAGACGGTAACTAGGACACAAACAGCATCAGACTGTAACACAGCTTCCCACAAAGCTACACACCTCACAGGCACCTTCACACTCACCAGGCTGGCATGATGATATATGGCCTTGTGCATATCAGACTCACTCAATCATCTAAAAACGTATGAATTGCAAACCAGTAGAGCTGCCTTTGTGACATCAGTTTTGTTTACGTACACAATGTTTCTTTTTATTCACATGGTTACTAAAGTAAATTGAGCGTGGCCTAATGCGTGAACAGTTACCTGTGCTATAGTGTCCGGTTTTACTTACCTGTGCTGTATCATGCAAACATGTTGTGTTTGCAAAGCAAATACATAGTCAAACCTTGCAGCCATTATTTCGTCCCCATAAATTACACTTCCCCCACTGATACCCCATTCCGACCATTCCAGGGCCAGTTCGGAGCAAGTGCCTGATGTGAACCAGTTATTCCTGTTTACACTGCAGCAGGGCCGGTTCTTGGACCCGAAAAACAAGTTCTTATTTGGCACCAAAAAACTGTAATCAAGAACCAAATACTTCAGGCTTACATTAAGTTAGAGGGCCACTAACACTTACTTTTTTCTATAGCCTGTGAGCCGCCATGTTCAGTGCATTTCACTAAAGCAAGAGGTAGCAGAAGCATTGTGTTTGCTGGGTTCATAAACTGGACAGGAAACACAGCGCTGCAGCATATTCTCAAAATAATAGTTCCTGATGTGACTGGAAGAATGTGCAGCAGCTTGCGTTATCGCAGAATCATGTTTGAGTTGATCACATATGCACCACAAGCAGTGCTTGGTTTCCCTCAGCCCTCAGAAAATAAAGAACCAGTGGTATTGGTGAGGCTTGATAAAAGCACCTGAAAGAGTAATTTATCTCTTTATGAACATAAACCACCATGGTTATTATTATTGGGTGGATTCATTAAACTGATCTTCCAGTTAAATCGTTGATCTCCATTCTTCTTTAAGACGGTATCTGAATATATTCTTCTGTGCGGAGAATACCATAGTTCTGTATTGATAAATACATTTGTAAAATATTGGATAGGGTTAGTTGTAAGACTGTAGATTTTTAGAGTACTAAACAGGGTGGGAGATTTTAAACTTTTCACTTGTGCAGATAGCAGCTGTTGTATACACAGTGGGCCGTTCTAACAGGGACATTCTTGTGGCCTTAGACTAAGGCTTTTTATGTGATTATGACCAAACATGGTGTTGGTGGTGGAAACAAGAGAGAAGCTTATCTTCCTCACCTACTTATTGCTTAACTGTTAACATATTCCTCGGGGGGTGGGAGGTAAACACTGAAGCTTATGTTTTACGCTGAAAGGAAACAGTGACTAAATATTCAAATGTAACTATTTGAATCAGTATTTGTTTTTTTAATGATAACTTAGAAAGTTCAAATAATTGATGTTTTAATGGTTTGTTCCTTGAATCATATAAGAGCCTGCACCGCTCTTTGTTGCTCTAAGCTTTCTGCATATATAAGTATCCATTATAACTTAATCAGCTGCTAGTACGTCAATGTGCTGTTAATGGGAAGCTTTCTACTCTGAAATCTGCATTGCGTTGAGCTTCCTACACCAATGCGTAGCTTTTAAAAGTCATGGGTTTGTATAATCTTGGAAAACGTTTTAAAAGTTACAGTTCACCATTTGTCATTTTGTCTTATGATGTCAATTTATCCTATGACTTAATATCCTTTCTCTAGATAATGAGGAAGTTACTGATAGATGCTAAGACTCTCCGCAAGAGAAGTACAAAGTGTTGCAACTCTTCCTGTTACCCAAACTCTTGTGCTCAGTCATCTTGTTAACAAAGAAACTGACATTTTGTCCCCTGTGACACAGTAACCCTGGAAGTGATAATGATTAACACAGAAACAATGTAACATGGCTGATCCCAGTGTGAAACAAAGTAGTGCCTTTTGAGCTACACATTTATCATTCCTTGAAGGTCAACTATTAAGCAAAAATCCACTTTTTCACGTCTTTTATACATAAACATGTGTCCCCTCTGTGTAAAGAGATTCTGAAAGTTGATGAGCTGATCAGATTTTGGCCACTTTATGATGTCATCATGATTTTTTGGCTTGTGTAACCATTAGCCAATCACCAACCAAGGTAACACCCGCCCACCTTATCACCTGAATCTCCTCCTAGAGCACCATTGTGTTATTTTTAACCAAATATCTCTCAGAGGGGCGTGGGGAGTGGCTCCTTATTTTCATCTAAAGTGACAGACAGAGAATCAGCACTTTTGAAACAGGGCTGAAACAGAGGGGATTATGGGATGCTGCAATGATCTGTTTGGTGTTTGGAGCCAAACACTTCCGAGACATGTTCTGTATATATCTGAGACCTATAATATATTGATGAAAAACAGTATAATAGGGGACCTTTAAATTAAATAATAAAAAATGTTCTGTTCATCTCCAGGATCATGTGTCGGCGAGTGATGGCCGCCCTGGGGAGGGCATACTACTTCAGCATGGGCTTCAGAGTGGTGATCAAGGGCAGGCAAGTGGACAGCAGTGAGGCCCCCATCCTGGCTGTAGCCCCCCACTCCACCTTTTTCGATGGGATAGTGTGCATCGTTGCAGGCCTGCCCTCCACCGTCTCACGAGTGGAGAACCTGGCTACACCTATCTTTGGCAGTAAGATGATTATCATGTGATTTGGTACAGGAAAGGCTGGGTGTGAACCTTTAAATATACAGTCTATGGTGTGAACTTGTGAAAATACGTGACAAATACAGAAGTGTGAAACCGCTTATAGACATCTGACTGCAGAAGGCTTTGTTACATATGCAATGCAACGTCCTTATATTATAATATGTTGGATACCTTTCAGTTTCAAAATCCCATTGGAACATATCCTTGTCAATCAGATATTACATCTATTATTTACTTATGTGTTTTGTAAGGTGAGAATGCACTTTAAACTTGTTAAATATTACATCGATGTTTTTGAGAGTAGTGACACCTCTGAGTTTGTTTAATTGAATTAACACATAATAGTGAAAACATCAGTCGTTTACCATTTAATGGCTATTATGAGCTAATAAAGCCATGCAATTAACCAAGTTCTGGACATTTAACAATCGGAGAAGAATAGGACAAAAAAAATTGTATTTTCCTCTGTTAAATGTGTTAATGTGTGTGTGTTTTGCTCTCTCTGCAGGGTTTGTGCGCTGTCTTCAGCCGGTGCTTGTGTCCAGGAAGGACCCCGACTCCAGGAAGAATACAATCCAGGAAATCGAGAGCAGAGCCAAGTCATTGGGACACTGGCCACAGGTCTGTACCAACCCAAAACATCCTCTAATATTCATTTGGTATAATCATGTATTATAGCTGAAGAGACAACTCTAAGCTTGTCGTCTTAGAAAAACCCCAAGAGCAGCGCCACAGGATAACTATGTTTCTTTTGAAACTGTACACGAGAAATAGACAAAGTAGATACAAATAAATACTGTTATTTCGAAAGCATCCTTTGAAATCTGCAGCAGCATTACATTGAAAACTTGATAAAACTTGAAGATCTTAACATTAACTTATGCTGTGTCCCTCAGGTTCTGATATTTCCAGAGGGAACATGTACAAATCGCTCCTGTCTCATCACTTTCAAACAAGGTAAGATATACATGTATTGTAATGCCATGTAATCAAAATATCATTGTTTTCTTTTGTATCCAAACACGTTACAAGAACATTTTTATAGTAAACAATACAATTCCTATCTGACCTTACTTGGTGAAACATTTGCAAATGCAACATAAACACAGGCCATAAGACTGTCAAACACCTGAACTTTTGAAAGAACATCCATAACATTAATCTGTTTGCAACTTAAAACAAAAAAAACAATTGTTCTAATATATCATATTCCAATTACTTGTATATAGACTATTCTTGCACTATTTCTATTATATTCAATTGTATTTGTATTTACTTGCACTATTTTATCTGTTTTATTGTGTTGCACTGTTGGAGGAGCCTGTGACTGAAGATTTTCATTGACATAACTACACTGTAGCAAATGACAATAAAAGCCTTGAATCTTGAATAAAACAAACTAGATCCTTTTGTAGCATGTAGCATTTTAGCTTGAATTGTACTACACTGAGCCGATAGACTAACAGAAATGAGACTTGATACTACACTGCTCCATTCATTCACTATACAACGTGGTTTGTGTATTGACTGATACCCATACAACTGTGGTTATGACTGCGATTCAGCTTTCATTGAATCATAATGAGAAGCCTCCATTAATTCATCCACACTGTGTGTTCCCCACCTTCAGGTGCCTTTATCCCAGGGGTCCCTGTGCAGCCTGTGGTTATGAGATATCCCAACAAACTGGTAAGCGATCGTGATTGTAAAACAGCGATTATATATTCAACCTTAGATTTTCCGAGCCAAATTCATAGCAACAATGTAATCATTTGCAAAGAGGGTAGTTGGAAGATAATTATATAAAGGCAGCGCCAAAGAGAAAATGCTTCCTGTTGGGGTGCAGTTCACACACGCACATTAATAGTCAGTTTATGTACATCCAAGCAATTGTACATGGATTGTCAGCTGAATTTGCACATATTTGAGGTAACATTGTTGACATAATCTCATAATGTTTACCTACACTATAAGCTCAGCTGTACCACACAACATCATGTATACCATTTGTTTTTCAGTGTAAATGTTTAATGAAGCTTTATGTATGTTTCCCTTTAGGACACAGTGTCTTGGACTTGGCAGGGTTTCAGCTCGTGAGTGTACAGTTTCTCATGTTTCACCTATAGTATGCATGTTTCCTGAAAGTGGTGCATGCCAGTACTCTAGACAAAACACACAATTCTAACTCGGTAACAAACACTATTGCTTTGTGTTGCCACCACTGTAACCAACTGTCCTGCTTGTGTCATCCAGGAAAACTCTGCTGCTGCTAACTCTGAGCCAGCTGTACACCACAGTAGAGATAGAGGTAACAAACATTCCTCAAATGTGCATCCTGATATACATCTAATTGTATATAAGTATAATAAACCACATGCTCTTTTGGGTCATTTTTAATATTGTAAAAATCTGTAAATTAAGAATGATATTATGTCATATTTTAGTCATGATGTTTCTCCAAAGTGCAATTTAAGCGTTACTTTTATTGGTTTGTTACTGGTAGAATCAGGTTATCTCTGTCATTGAATTTACTATACAAGTATGTGACCTTAATCTCTATGCTGTGACTTATATACTACATCAAAGTAAGCACAATATGTGCTTTCATTCAAAGGTTTAGGAGTTATTTTTCTGCTTGACCTTCCCTGTGACCTTTTTTGTCTGTTTGTTCTTTTTCTTTTAAGTTCCTGCCGACACATATCCCCACAGAGGAGGAAAAGAAATGCCCTCCTCTGTTTGCTAGCAGAGTGCGAGACAAAATGGCCCAGTAAGTGTTATTTGGTCTGAAATGCGAATTCCACTGTGTGTTGCTCAAGCACTAAGACTGTGTGACCTTAACAACACTTTTTCCCCCCTTGCCTACATACTGTTTCAAACTAGGAAGAGGCATCTTATAAAGGATAACAAACGGGAATTTAAAAGCACTGTACTATTATTTTCCCCTTATCATACGTCTGTTTTTATTATAGATACCAATTTTAAAGTAATACTTCATGACTGATGAAATTGAGGGTTAGATTATTTTAGTTTTTAAGGTAGTTGGTCACTGTTAGGTGTAGCTTGTAAATGTGTCTGTAATATACCTATAATTTCTCCAATTCTAGATGCGTTAGTAAGATATATTGTAAATACTTTCTGTGTAGTGGCTGGGCTTCAACTATAGCTTCATAGGAGTGTTTCATTTCATGTCTTTTGATTGTACTTGTATTTTGAGCTGTTTCTGACTAAATTAATTGAATAAATGGAAGAAATTATAAAACAAGAGATACACAAACTGATATATGTTTATAAAAGCAATGCAGAACATTATCAAGTAAGTGGTGGAGTTTTAATATGATGGCCACCATTTGAATTCGACTAATATAAGTGTACAATGAGTTATTGCATTCCTCTTATCTGTATAATCTTTGCATATCCCTCTGTTAGTTTACAGCTCTTTACAAGCATCACAAACATTACGCTGACCACGTCTGCTTTCAGGGCTCTGGGAGTTCCAGTGACCGACCACACGTATGAAGACTGCCGCCTGATGATCTCAGCCGGTGAGCTAACGCTGCCCATGGAGGCCGGCCTGGTTGAGTTCACCAAAATTAGCCGTAAACTCAAGTAAGAACATCTCACTTAAGTGCACTGTAGGCATCGCCAGACAGGGCCAAAAACAATTTGTTTTGAGCATGTGATTGTCCCGTGTAACTGGAGAGCAATTATATAAAAGGCAAAATATGACCTACATAACCACCTCCTCTCTGTGCCCTGCTCCCTCAGCCTGAAGTGGGACAACGTGAGGAAGGAGCTGGAGGGCTTTGCGTCCATGGCCACTTCTTGTAAAGGAGGACGGATAAACATCGAGGAGTTTGCCTCCTTCCTGAAGCTACCTGTCAACCCGGCCCTCGAGGAGCTGTTCGCACTGTTTGACAGGGTGAGAGACATGTCAGATGTTTAGTTTTTATTTAACCAGAGCCACCCTAAATAGTACCATAAAGATGACACAATAATAACTTCCCTTTTGTTGAAAGCCAGGATGTTGGAATAAGTCTTGCTACAGTAAAATGACACACCCTGGAGGAAACACGTAATAAATATACTGGTTGACAGCATAATGGACAACAATCTCAATATTAATTTACAGAATAAAATGCATTACATCACTGAATATCATGTGTACAGATGAGGGTAACATTGAAAGGTGTGGGTTCAGGATTTATACAGCCTGACAGAGGAAACTATGATCACATTTTGGCCTCTTTCACTGGAATGACTACAAGAGGTTTCAGTAAAAAGCATAAAAACAGACTCTAACCTCTAGTTTGATGATCCCTTCCCCCCCAGACAATCTATGCCTCATCATTTTCCAGTAACAGAGATTTACACATTCAATTCCAGATACTCCCTTAAACCCCCCATTACCTTTCCAATACTCCCTTAAACCCTTTCTTCTAAACTGTCGATGCTTGACAAAAGTTTATTTTTATGACTATTAAGGATATAGAAACATCCATCATCACAGTATGCTGCTACCGCCTCAAGTATTTTTTATTGCCGTCTCTTTGACCCCGTCTAGAACGGAGATGGCACCATAGACTTCAGAGAGTACGTCATCGGCGTGACCATCTTGTGTCGACCAGCCAACACCGAAGATGTGCTTCGCATGGCTTTTAAGGTATGGAAGATATATTGTGATATTACAGTGCTGCTACGAGGGACCGGAGAAATAGCAGTCATGTAGTGTAAACATCACCGAATACAAACACACAGTAAATCAGGTCGCCCAAGGTAGTCCTCCCTACCACTGCTTTTCTGTGTGAAAACTGAATTCTTCCAGGCATAGTATCAGCAATTTATCAGAAATGCTCCACATTGATTATGCTGATTCAACGGCATCATACATTTTCTGCTAATATTTATTTGACGTGATTTTATGACTCTATCCTTGGAAAAAGTGATATGACCATGTAAAGCAGCCCTTTCTGTAAATGAAATATGTTACATATTTGATGCACAAGTCTACAGTATAAAGGATTTTTACTTTTTGTACTCCACATATTACAATGACAATAATATAAGCAGAAATCTAAATTGCTCTGACTTTATTGGACCACAGCAGTCAGACATTGCTGTAGGAAGAACAGAGGCAGCATTCAGAGAGGCTTGGATAATGTCAATGTTAACAACGTGTGTCTGTTGTGGAGAGCATGGAGTCATTCGGCTGACCATAAGTTCAAAAGTGGTTTGGACCAACTGGTGTTTATTTAAAATACTAAACTAAACCCACGCTTTTATCCAAAGCGACAATTTCAGAACAGCAGGAATCCTGCAAGTACATTAGCTTCAAATAAGCCTCATCATTTGAAGTGCTACATACTGAAACCTACAGTATAATGTAACTTATTTCACACAATTTGAATAACATTCATCTCTCCTGAACATGCAAACATTTAAAACTCAAATACATTTTCCATGCAGCTGTTTGATACAGACGAGGATGAGAGAATCACCCGGGAGGAGTTCACTGCTCTTCTGCGCTCAGCTCTGGGTGTGTCCAACATAAACATGGCCAAACTCTTCAAGGAGATTGATGCTGACGGCTCTGGTTTCATCACCTTCAGTGAGTAGACTCTGCTTTTAAATCTGATGCCGAGCTTGGTCTTTTATCCTCCTTGTGTATTTGAATATGGGAATATGTGCAGTAAATACATTATAATTGACATACCGTATTGTAAGCTACATCCTTATGCTTTTCTCTGTGTCTGTGACTCCTAAGATGAATTTCAAAGCTTTGCCATGAGCCACCCGGAGTACGCCAAGCTCTTCACCACCTACCTGGAGCTTCAGAGATATCAAGCAATCCAGGAGGCGAATCCAGGCGAGCTGGAGTTGTCCGGTCAGATTTCAGATATACAGGAAGAGAGCGTCTCTGACAAAAAAGATGACTGAGACTGAGGGAGACTCTCCTTGACTGCACTGAGAGACAAAACACTGTATCCACTGCACTGAGAAAATAAACAAGCATAATCTGCCCTCTGACTTTTAGCACACTCATGTCATTCGCCACAGCAGAGCCATATTATATAATAGGTCATGTGCTTGCCTTTTTATAGATGGTTTTTAGAGTGCTTCTATTTTCAATTTTAGTGCCTTATAGAGATTTCAAAGAATCACTTCCCCAAGACACTGCACAAAAATGTCGTATTGCAGACTTATCATCCTTAAAGTTTTATGTGTGCGTGTGGTTATCTGTATATCAGGAAAAAAACGAATGAAAATCTAGTTCTAGAATAAAAAGAAAAAAGTCCATGTTGGCACGGATCAGTGTTCTAACTTTTTAAACCCTGCAATCTTATAATGTTATTGAAAGTGTTTTATGATATATTTAACTGTCTCACCCTGTTTTTGACTTAGATAGCGTTGTGTACCTTCTCCTTTGTCTTTGTGATCCTCTGTATACGAGTAAAAAATATTGCCAAACCAACACCTTTTTAAATATAAGCAAAGAGTCCTTGTTCCTCTGTGTTGCAGTATAATTAGTGTACAGTAAGCTTTATTAAGATCTTTGCAATCTGGCAACCCGCAGATGTTCCGTATTAAAACTATGTCTAGGAAGAGCATACATGCTGTGCATTACACTTTTTTTTTCCAGTGCTCAGGGACACAGACCTTGTTTAATTAGCCAGAGGTTTGCTTTGCATGTGTATCTATTTGCATTTCTACTGAAGACTGTAGTTGCTGAGACAGCAGCACGTCTACGCAGCTTTAAGTGAACTAAAGCCAACCAACCACTGAAAATAGGGCAATTTGTGAGCAAAAAGGAAATGGTACTTCTCCACAACGGCATATCCCAGCGGGGTGTGCTTTCAGATTAACTAGCGGCACTGTTATTTATTTAGCAAGGTGCGTTGCAATTATGTGATTTCTTTTTTGTTAACACAGCAAAGTTTGCTTTTTAAATAAAACAAGAATGCAATTTTAATATTGGCTCGGTTTTTATGTTTACAACAGAGGGAACTTGTAATGACTTCTGTAGACTTTGCTTATAATGAGGCTGTTTACAATTAAGGGGCTAAATCTGTACCTTTTTTAGTTCTCTAAACCACCACCAGGTGCCAGTAGTGACCTGCAACAATTAATATGTTGTTGTTCTGCTTGTGAGCGCCTCTTTGAGTTTTAACCCTTTGTCATTTTGGCCTGTTCTTTAAATTAATGGTAGAGCTAACAATAAAGGAAGTTGGGTTAGGGTTTGTAATGCACCATGTATTAGTAAGGGTTAAAGATTGTGCAAGTGTGTGTGTGGAAATGTTACATTTAATCATGAAAAACAATCAACTGTACAAAAGAAAAAAATTAGTCTTGAACGTATGCATTTCAAGAAATATATTTTAAAATGGGGTTTAATTCATATAAACCTCAGCAATATCTTTACAAAAGGCATTTGCTCTGACTGTTGTGCTATATTTTCTAATGTTTCACCATTGCATTTGTTCATTTGACCTTTCTGGGCCCCTTTCTGTTTTCATTACAGCTGAGGAAATAGACTGATTCTTGAAATGGTGCAGTATGTGTGTGCTAATGAAACATTTTATCTTTAAAGAAACATCTAATGGCTATAATGAATGATATTTGAAAAACAATGTACTGTGATGTGTTGGTTAAGATTATGCAAGTTTTGTTTTCATATACTAAAAGGCATGTCATCACAAATCACAATTGTAAATCACATGTAAATAAGTGTACAAAGAATAAACATTTTCATCTGATGGCACTTCGTTTTGAAACAAATGAGTCAACCATTTGCCTGACGGTAACACATACATTTTCCATCACTTTTTTTATGCATATTCAAGCCCAACTGCTGCTAGGAGAGTCTGTAAGGAGGCCATGATGCTAATATATGCTGTTCTAAATACAAGTAACGTGAATGTGCTCTCACACAAACAGAGAAGCAATGCAATCGCTCCATATGCACAGAGGAGGCTGAAATGAATGATGGAGAGTGGGTCGCTTCATTAAAAGCCCGCTGTTAGACAAACTGTGATTACCAGCTGTGATTTCCACCTTCAATTTGTTTTAACCTTTTCAAACGTACAGAGGCTCATTTCATTTTAATCAAAATTGATGAGATGGCATGGAATCAATTAATTGACATTGTTGCCGCGCTTACAACAGTGTGACTCCTTCCCCTACTTACCCGCTCTCCCCGAAACCCTCCATCCTCCCTCTTTCCTCGGCATGGCTGTTGTATATTGCCGTATCCATTTCAGCCCAGCCTGCGGGGGGATCCTGTCGCAGTAGATTGTGGGAGATATGTGTTGATAATGCGATTTGGTCTCCTCAGGACCTGAGTGAGTGAGCAGCCTCTGTTTGTGGTCGAAGGCTGGACACAGGCCTCATTCGGGGGGGAGTGGGGGGGACTCACTGTGCCGGGCTGGATGAAAGGTCAGCCCCGACAGGCCTCGCTGTTTAATAGATGTGACATTACTGTGTGTCTCAATTGAGGCAGGTAGCCCAGCTTTCTCAGGGCAAATGTGGATCAGTCCTTGTTACCCATCCATACCCAACCGGGCATTTCGTTCAAACCCTTTGGTGGTATGTTACCTACTGTATAGTGTTGATAGCTTAAAGAGGAAGAATTTGAAATGCATAAGGTATTTATAGAGGACATTACGCTCATCTTCAGGTTCATATTTGAATTAAGTGCCTCTACTGTGACATGTTTCCGTGCTTTAATGTTGAAAAAGGTCTTGATTTTTCTCATACTGCCTGTGCTGCAGCACCTCTTTTCACCCTGTGGGTGTTTCTCAATGTCGAGGACGCTTCCTTGGTAGGACATGTCCCTCCGAGTCAGGTCCTTCAGAAGTGGGGCAAAGATCCTTCCTAGCCTTGGAAAATGAAGAATGGTGGAACAGGCTAACAGGTGTGCAGGTGTGCGTCATATGCGAGGCCCCGCCTTAAATGGAGCGCGATTTCTGCCAAAGATTTTGGAAATTGGTCCGTGCGCAAAGCATTGTGGGGATTTTAAGACCACGGAGGATACACATGTGCAGCCTCGAAATTTCCCGCAATGAAGGACGCCGGCCTCGGTAGAATTCCAAGCATCCTGGACATTGGAACAGTCCTTCGGCGGGACTCGATGACGTAGCATCCTTGAAATAGTGGCTCTGGAGCAGCTTTCCTCCACATTGAGAAACACCCTCTGTCTGAAACCAGAGCCCAGTCTGCTCTGATTGGTTAGCTGGCCGGCTCTGTTGTGATTGGTCAACTGCTTAGAGATGTCCCACCTCTTAGCCTATTACGTACAATGTGTTGAAGCTCTAGCCAACAGAAGCAAGATTGTTACATAGTGATGTCACTATGTTAGGGAAGTAAACAAAGAGTCCAATGGAGGCATTTCAGTCAGAGGGGGGAGTGTGTGGGAGAGAAACTACTTCTGGAGGGAACACATGATGAAGATCTTTTACATGAACAAAGACCTATAATAAAAAACACTTCAGGGAAACCCCCAAATAGCATAATATGGCCTCTTTAAGTTCCAACTAAAAGTAATGACCACATTAACTACGAGTATGAGCGAATGTTTTATATCTCTACAAATCAAACATATGCAGACTTCACGCAAAACATGACTGTTACCAGCATGACTACAATACAACACAGTAACAGAGGGTAGATTTTATATGTATTGTAAACATTTATGCTCCCATCCATCAAGAGTATATGAATGCTCTTTTTACAGCTTTACATAACATCTGAAAAAGGCATTCTTCCAAATACAAGTTTGTCCTGCATGACATAACAGATGGATTAATTGACAGTGCCAATAGTTCAACAGGCAAAAAAAAGCAATTGGGTTTGTTCTAGCAAGGATATTTTGGGAGCATTATACAAGAGGAAGAAATTATGTTGGCTTCATGTTCCTATAGGAATAGTTCTTCCTGCCTAAAGCAACAGGATACCTGGGTTTGTACACTCCTGCCACCCTTCCTTTGTCCTGAATGACGAACATGGATGTAAAGATCCAAACATTAAAATCACACTGCAGGTTAGAGGTTAGTTTCTGGCTTCCTTTACTTAGTGAGCTGAAACACTGTTACCGCTAAATCGAGCGAGGACATTTCAAGTTAAGGTTAATTCTCTTATTTGTCACAAATGAGAAACAAAGCCTTTGATCGGTAATGAATAAGAGTATGCTTTCATTGAGTGAAATATTCAAAACCAAAATGTCTTCTTCTTCATGGATATATCCATCCTTTGATGAGCATATTTTATTCATGTTTGTGCTTTGTTTTATATACATTCAACTCTAATTAAGTCATACTGGTGCTAAGTTGCCAAACTCTCAAACTTTGTGATGTCCAGTATAATTTATAACAGGATTTTCTCTATTTGAACAATGCTTGGCAGCACAACGTACCTATGTAGCAATGGACCCACTGATACTTGGCTTCAGTCCATCTACTCAGTGCAAAGGGTTTGTTGAACTCCGATGGGTGTTAGCTCAGAGACACATGCTGTGGAAGTCTCCGCATCTCGACCACCCTGGAACTGAAGGAGACAGCGTGCCAGGCTCTCCTTCAGTTCCTCCAAACCTCATTGTTACGTTTCCTTACAGAACCAGATGACACCTTGTTGATGTTCTCTCTCTTATTATGCTCTCATGAAAGTGATTGTTCCCCATTTCCTGTGTGATGGTTCTAGACTAGAGGAACAGTAAAGGTCCCAGGGAGGGCAAGGTTTGGGGTATAAAACTTCAGCGGCCTAACGTCGGTATCTGCAGGCCAGGTTTGTTTCCGTGCTCAATGTTTTGTTTCACATCTCTGCGTTTGATTCTTTTCCAGATGTTTTCTGTGAGACTGGCAAAAACTTTTCCTGTGTAATATGCGTGTGCTTATCTGTTCCAAACAAACTCAAACGTGAGACGGGGAAAAAACATTTTCAATCAGTCATACTAATATTTATCTATTTTATTCCTAGGAACTGAGTGACACCAAGGATGATGTGTAACAGGGTTTGTGACAGTGCAACAATATGTCTTATGCAACAATTACATAAGAGAACATAAGAAATGAAAGTATGGGAATTAGAAAATGTGTCTCTTATGGGAGTTGTACGTACTTGGACTCTTAATGGGAGTCTTGTCAATCAATCACAGCTTTTTTTCTCACAGTTTAAACACATGATGCCAATCCTCCTGCTGACAAGCCTCCCTCTTTGTGCCCCCTAATTACAACCCACCATTCAAACTCGACTTGTGCATGCCCCCTATTGTGTTCTTCATTCACCAGTTGCTTGGAGATTGAAGGGGTGTGCACTCCTGAAAGATAAAACTCTTTGATATATAGATGAAGGACACCGCCAGGAAAGTGATTATTATTGTAAGCGTTTTGAGGACAATAGCACCACATTCTTACTGATTATTCTTTGCTTTTTGATTGTAGGTGTTGGCTGAAGCACAGGATAAGATGCTGCTAATGAATTCACTTCACCGGCCTGCACCTTTTGTGGGTAAATGTAAACCACATTTCCCAGATGTGCTGCATTCTGCTCAGAAATGTTCCCCCTGTGACTGGACATCTGACTCACATTGCTTTTATTTTCACTGAATGTATGTAGAGTATAAGACTTAACATTGCTGAGGTGCTTAAGTTGTTGCAGATACTAGTAAAGCCTATAACTTACTGACACCCTTATGTGAGATTTAAAACATTAAGTTTAACAGGGTGCAGGACAAAACAAACCCCATTCAATGCTATTACCATGACCTGATTAGCATGCGGTAATAACCTGTTGCTTTAAATCCATGGAATTACTGCATATATTTCCAAACAAACTGCGCCAAGATGTTTATGATATATTTTCTGTCCCTTGATTTTTACATGAACAAAAATAATCTACACAACAAAACACATCTACCTGTACATATACTGTTAGCAACATGGCAGCCGATAGCATTCTAGCTTTTAGATACTGTCCAAAGCAAAAAGAAAGATATCTCAGTTCTATAAAGAAGGCAGATCACACTGTAGTTTTAATAGATAAGCAAGTTGTAGGCAGGCTTTGTTACTAACTGGTCCAGCTTTGTACAAATAACTTTTTATCACTGTACAGTACTTCTTCGCTTTCTTTGCCTCCTTTGTCAACTGGGCTTTTCTGCTGGTAGAGTTTCCACGGTAGATGTTACCCTGGTTGTTCTGCTAATGTACATGGGGATGGTAAGTGAAAGCTATTTAGTTGAGTGGTTAGATATTTAGTTAAAGCTCCTATTAGGGAAATGCTCTCTGTTAATAAAGTGTATTTATTCTGAGAGCTATTTAAAAAAACATTGACAATTGAGGCTTATTAAGAACCAATCTAAAGCCAATTTAGTCATTATTACACGAACATTTACTTCATAATGATAAGTTAAATCAAAACTGCTGTCTGTTTCCGCTTTAATTAAGTATCAACAAGTACAAATACATTTTTCCTGCGAGCTCTGACTCACACAGAACATACAGTATAAGCCTTTTTTACACAAAACTATTATGACCTGTCATAGGAGAAAAAACACAAGGGGTTAAAATGGAAATCAAAGCAGCTATCTGGAGTTCAGCCGTCATTTCGTTGTTTAGTGCTGTGCTTTTCCTATTATGACAGTTTAAAATGTTTTCCGTGAAAAAGGCCTATCTGGAGTTGAGTTGTTTAAAACATCTGATAAATGGTTATTATGAGTCATTCTCAATTTGAACTGGTGCTAGAGCACGTTTTACGATGTAGGGTTGATGCAAATAGCAGAGTGGGATGGGACTATACTGCAGCATATATGTTCATGTAGAGAAAGGGGGTGAAAGGTTGTGTGTGTGTGTGTGTGTGTGTGTGTGTGTGTGTGTGTGTGTGTGTGTGTGTGTGTGTGTGTGTGTGTGTGTGTGTGTGTGTGTGTGTGTGTGTGTGTGTGTGTGTGTGTGTGTGTGTGTGTGTGTGTGTAAATCTTCCTCTATGAAGAGAAGTACACCCTTGTGTGGACTCAATAATCAATGGCCTCTCAGACTTCAAACTGTATAAGCTTGTTTTTCCGTTGGAGGTGACTTAACGTGCACTTTGAAGAGTCGACATGTGAGCGAAGACAAGCCTCACCTTGATGGAGATGGGATTTCATGTGGATCAGAGCTTATGTACAATAACTCCTTGATGTGTATCCAGGGTGGAACAATGGATATCCTAAGTCGTTTATTAGGTATTGTAAAGGAGTAGTAGTAACCACATCTGCAAAGGAACAGAAAGGAACAACAGAGACCTCTTCTATGACCCTAACCAAAGGCACAGGTTAAATCCAGAGGGTCATACTGTGACTGCTGAGAGGCTGCGTCTTGTTTCATTAGCATCTCATCCTCAGGTCAACATGGACGAACCCAGACCTTAAGAAAGAGGAAGGAGGTCTCAAGAATTGCAGCTGGAATCCAGGATGATGGATGTAATAGGTGAAGGATGATAAAAGTTTGCCTTTAGCAGTCCTGCACGTCTTTAAATCATGATTATTGGTACTTTTTATAGTTTATTCTCAATCTGCTATACATCTGTGAGTTACCTTTAAGGGAAGATCAAACGCTACTGCACATTAAAATGAAAGGAAACCCGGTCTTACACCATCACACATGTTTAGAAAGACACCACCCATCAAACACTATCATGATGTTAACACAAAACACGTGGTGATTCTTGACAGATACCTGGCAATACAAAACAAAGTGCAAAAGAATATAACTCATTCAGGAGAAGACAACAGTAATAACACATTATCCTTCCTTGTTACCTGGTCCTTTGCTTTACCATCACTGCAGTTATTCAATCTTCACAAACAAAACGCCCAAAACCAACCCTATTAGGGTTTTATAAAACAAGCACTGGAGAGCAAAGAGGACATTCATTGACTTTAATGGGATGAACTGATCAACCATATCTAATAAAAATCATTGCCCCTGGCTAAAGCTGCTGTAGAATTGAATTACACATGGAACACAGTGCTTTCATGGCTTCTTAGAAAACCGTAATTCAATATGTTTAGTACAGAGAAGAAACAGATAAAGTCGAAATTAAAACATTACAAAAAGTTTTGTTGGACCTGAAATGCAAGCACTGAGATAATTCTGAAGGTAAAATGCTCATGTCTCTTGGTAAATTATATATCTAAGTGCCAATCTGAAAAGCAAAGACAGGATCTGTCTTTTATTCTGCTCTTGACATGGCAAATTCTTCTTAAAATAGACGCCCACGTCCATCATTTATAAAGAGTTTTTAACAAGAATAAGTTATTTATTAAATATCCTATTATGTTTACGCGGATTAATGGTAATAGCACTATTGTCCCGGATGATTGTTGCCCTGGCAGGTCTGAAGTGGATGCACAAGTTTATGGGAACTTGAGTTCTGACAACAAAAACAACTATCCTACCAGATCCGCATGAAACTGGAAAGAAAGTGTTCAATTAAAAAATATCACGTGGAAGAGAGATAGGAAACCGATTTAAAAGCTCGGTTTTTTATGTCGTCCCTGCTGGAGAAGGCGAGTCTTATAGTTCCTTCAGAATGGGCAGTCTTCCTTCAGATGCATCTGGACAACAGCAGCATCGGGTCATGGAGAAGTGCCCCTAGATTCACCAAGTACGGAGGACATCCTTTCAACTGCAGACCTTTCGTTAGCAACGGTGATATATTCAAATAACGATTTGTATTTCTCATTATGATGCTTATTTGTAGGTTGTTGTTTGATTGACTGTTGAGCGCGCTTTATGCTCTGCGCGCATGGAGAGGCAACAGCTCTGAAGTATCTTTCACCTGCTGTAGCTGTGCATCAGACCACAAAAACAATGTTTTCTCTTAACGCTTTTCATGTATTCATACCACAGTCTTACTTTTTGAGGAATAATGTAACCTAACCCCTTGCCTCACCTGTATTTCTCTCTGTACTTAAACTTTACGCACACACATCAAACCTCTCCATACTCTGTTTCTCTTCCCTCTTCTCCAGCAAATGTATGCGGGGGTATCAACTCAAGTTTGGGTGGCGAATTATCGCTTATCCAGCTGCTGTCAGCGGGATTTCGGACCTTAAGCGCATCGACTCAGACCCTGAGCTCTGCAAGTACCCGCAGGGTGCTGCGAGAGCACCAGGGAGAAGATGAATATCCAGGTTGTGCCAGAACACAAGCTCTCATCGGTGGCCCCGCTGAAGCAGTGCGATGTGGAGAAAAGGGAGGTAGAACTGATACTGGTGAAGGACCAGAATGGCGTCCAGTACACCAGTTCCTCCATCATCCCCTCCCCTGGCCACCTCGCAGGTCCCCCAGGATCCACCGAGGAGGAACGAGAAACTTGGGGCAAGAAAATGGACTTTCTCCTCTCGGTTATTGGCTTCGCGGTGGACCTGGCCAATGTTTGGAGATTTCCCTATTTGTGCTACAAGAATGGAGGAGGTGAGTACACCATGTTTTTGTTATCTGTTAGGACAGTGAGTGCAGAGATGCTTCAACATTTCGAAGAGGTCACACAACTTTGATTCATGTAAGAAGTCCTTGAAGTAACACAAGTTATTATCAGCCCCTCCAGTGAAATGATAGGAGTTTTTCTTCATTGGTGTTCTCTCATTTAGGGATGGCAAAGCACCTCTAGTTTTTACTTTGAAATCTTTCAAAAATGCAAATGTTTTGACACTGCAATTACTTTTCTTTAGATTTAGATTCAGAGTTAAGGTATTTTAATATGTTGTTGTCCCAACTCTAGTTCCTTTAATCTTGTTTGATTAACTTTCTAATAGTCCCAAGTGTATTGATGTGGAAGTGAATTCACTGTAGTTTACATGAAGAAGGAAATTCCTCATTTCATCAAGACGTGCACATAGAAACAGTCAGAGAGTTGAAAGTGATGATGTCTTGCCAGATTCATTTTATTTATTTTTTTACAACTCCCAATGTATCCACACATATAAATAATACAGCTTACAAATACAAGTGCCTGGATTTTTGGTTAAGAAATAACCACCCTTAAAAACTAAGGTGCGCAGTAGTGAGGCGGGAAAAGGTAACAGGTGGTTTTGAAGTGTTTCTGTTTCTGTGTGTTAAAAAATATGACGAAAACGGTCATAATAAATTAACTATGTTGTTATTTTCAAATGGCACCTTGTAAACTGGGATCGGCTCCAGCCCCAATGACACTGTAAACATGCAGTTGAATGGATGGATGCATTTTAAAGTTGCTTTAATGTTGTGCCACTTTCAGTTCTTGGAAATATGTATTAGATAAGAAGACAGTGTTGATGTAGATATGATAAAGAAAATATGACCTTCACAAAATCATGTGTTTAGTATGGCTGGGCGAAATGGTCAAAACCATCTATCACAATGTAGATTATTCTCAAACGATATCAACAGATAATGATAATGTTTTTCTAAATATTCGATAAATAAATAGTCTTTATAAAGGAACTTAACAGTAAAGCGTATTGTATACTCCATGTGAATGAATTCAAGTTTTAAGGGAAACATTTCTTTACAAATAAAGACCTGGTAATGTATCTCTAGGACATTATAGAAACTAAAAGTATATAATAGACGCTATTAGATTGTGTTGACAATATACGGTATATCGTCATATCGTCTATCTCTCGTGTAGATACAATAAACTCTAGCTCTTTTGTTTCACACTGTCAGATGATTCATGAAATGATTTAGCATCATCAGCATATTTGCTAAAACTGTTTAAAATACACTGTAAGGTTTCTTTTCCTGCTCTTACCTACAATTAAAAAACAAGTGTGGCGGATTGCCAACTTTCACTGTTTTCTAAATGACTAAATACTGCAGCTGCACCACAGTGAGAGGAAGAGGGTGTTGAATCAATAAAAGATTGTCTTGTATTGTTTCACCATCAACAGAGGGCTCATATGTGTCCACTCACATGGCCAAAATCAACATGTTGTGCCCACAGGGTTAGCTCCACCTCTGGCCTGTCAATCATACTGGCCCTCAGCAAAATGTATTCATTAGTGTAGATAATGTGTCATTTGTGATGGACAGTGTCCAGAACAATTAAATTACAGGGGGTAATTTCCTTGTTGTTGGACAGTCAACTGAGGCACAGCATGAAAATAGCTGTAAGCCTTCCTGCTCGCATGAAATGTTGTTTTTTCCAACAATGTCAAGTCCCCAAACCACCACTTTAGTATAGCATTTATATCCTCATTATACACCTATCCTATATCAGTGTTTTACTGTAAGCAAAACAAAAGACATATGAGCGATTAAATAAAAATGCATACGATATGTACAGTAAGCATGAAATGTAATTATTTCTCTTTCCAGGTGCCTTTTTGATCCCGTACATTCTTTTCCTGGTCATTGCGGGGATGCCATTGTTCTACATGGAGCTTGCCTTGGGCCAGTACAACAGGGAAGGGGCAGCTACAGTTTGGAAAATTTGCCCTGCCTTTAAAGGTGAGCTGTAACACACATGTGAACCTGCCTGTCTAACCTCTTAAACAGTGCTGCATAAAGCCCAGTCATCCTCCTTTTCTTGTCTCTTGCCCTTTAATTTCATCCCTTTGTTCTTGTCCTTTAACCCTCAAAGGTTCAGAAGTGTCACTTGTGACTAATCTCTCTGTATCTTCCCCTCTTTCTCCGTTTCACCTCTCTGTATGTTCATGATCCCTTTCAACCTTATACCCCTGTCTATTGTTTTCAAATGTCGACTTGAGAAAGGAGTAAAGCAAACCTTGCTGTGTTTTACAGCTGCACACCAGCCTGACTTCTTCTTAGAAGTGTGGTGGTTTAAACAACAGATTGTTATTATATTAAGTGTCACATTGAAAACGCTGTCAGATAAGTACCTGGGTGAGTCTGCACTATTGAATCACCACTCACTGATTTTATTGGCTTCAGCACCGAGGAGGGCTTGTTTTTTTCCTTCGGAGAATGAGTGGATGATAGATTAACGGCTTCTCTGTCTTCACGTGAGGATATAACATTCCAGTGGAGACAAAAACAACCACTCATCCCATAATTTACTTGTGCCAAATGATGAATAGCAGCTCTCAGTGAAAATGTGTGAATAGTAAGTTTGATAAATTACGATGTGAATGTTCCCTTCACTGCTCTGCTGAGGGAAAGATATGTGTACCTACCTCATGGTGATGATATGACTGTGAATAGGACTGAAAACATTATATTACATGTTTTTTAGCCGGCACTTTTATCCTAAGAGACTTATATACACTTTGATTTGGGGTTAAGTATCTTGCCCAAGGACATGTGAACTGCAGGGGCTTGGGATTGAACCGCTGACCCTCTGATTGGTAGACAACCTTTTCTTCAGTCACATGTCGTAAGGAGCACAAGGCATCAGATTAAAGGCAAAAATGGCAACAATATACACTGAAAACACTGAAGCATTGACTTTAATTAAATGTATTATGTCAACAGATTTCACATAACTGTATTAGGTTAGTTGAAAGCAATACTCTTAAGTTTAAATAGATTCAACTTATAATAGCAAACAAAGCAAAAATTCCAAAGGCATTCAAGAACTCAGAAATAGTTTGAAATAAAAATATTACTTTATTCTCAGAATACTGACTATAACATCTAAATTCATCTAAATGTTGCACCAGTGGTCCACTTCAGTTTGCATTAAAGGTCCCTTATTATACTGTTTTTTTATCAATATATAATAGGTCTCAGATATATACAAAACATGTCTCTGAAGTGTTTGCCAAAAAATCGTTATGACATCATAAAGTGGCAAAATCTGATCAGCTCATTTTCAGACAGGTTTTCATATAAATGGATCAGGACAAAAATAATATTTTTTCCTGAAACTTTCAGAATCTCTTCACACAGAGGAGACACATGTTTATGTGTAAAATTCATGAAAAAGTGGATTTTGCATAATAGGTGACCTTTAAGTGAACTTGCACTTTGTGACTGTAAGAAATGTTTTTGTTCCTCCTCACTAATACCTCTGTGTTCCTCAGGTGTGGGCTACACTGTGATCATCATAGCCCTGTATGTTGGCTTCTACTACAATGTCATCATCGCCTGGTCCCTCTACTACCTGTACTCCTCCATGACCAGGGATCTGCCGTGGCTCTTATGTGGAAACATCTGGAACAGCCTGAACTGCACCGACCCCAAAGCCGTCAACGGGTCCCTCCTTGGCAACGGGTCCTACGCCAAGTACAAGATGACCCCGGCAGCAGAGTTTTATGAGTGAGTGATTTCAGAGTCATTCATTTTACTGTACGGCCCATTGCATGATTAACATTTAATACAACCGTAGGAAAAGGGTTACCTTGGTTGGTGATTGGCTAATGGTTACACAAGCCAAAAAAAATCGTTATGACATCATAAAGTGGCCAAAATGTGATCAGCTCATTTTCAGACAGGTTTTTATATAAATGGATCAGGACAAAAAGTGAGAGAATCTTTTTTCCTGAAACTTTCAGAATCTCTTTACACAGAGGGGACACATGTTGATGTAGAAGAGACATGAAACAGTGGATTTTGAGGGGGGAGCAATCACTGAATGCAATCATAAATGTTTTCACTATAAATGTGTTTACATAAACTCTTTGAAGTGCATGAAAAAGCTCCATCTGTTTATACTTCAAAGCCAGCCAGCTCTTCCCTTAGCTTCTGTGAAGATTGACTGTGCGGCCCAGAGGAAGTGTGTGAAGGGACTTGGACAGTAGAGCAGACACATGCTAAGCGTGACGCACAGAATACATTGAGCATGCATCCCGGCAAATCATTGAGCTTGTGAAAGTTCCACTACCATAGTTGTACAGCGTGTTTATTTAATCACTATCACTGGCTGTCTTTAAAATCAGAAGTATAAACAGTATGCTCCTGCTGGATGGTTACACCTAACTCAAAGGAAAACAGCAGTAGATCTGAAGAGACAGACTGACAACAATAGGGTCCTTCAAGACAGATCCTGCATGGGGTTCGGCTCAGCAGGGGACAATAAATCCTCCTGCTTACGGCGAGATATGAGCACAGGAGCAATGCCAAGACTCAGCGTGACAGAGGGAGGCCAACTGAGTCAACAGTCTCTTGCTTCACCTCCTAAACTCTTCTATGTCCTCTTGAGCCTACTGTCGTCAGCTATCATGACCGTAGTTTTCCAGAAAAAAAAGAAAGAAGCAAAATAAATAAACTTTACAGACTCTACACCACTAGCCAAGGTGCTCAAAACAGTAACCAGTATTACTATTACACTTTTAAAATGAATTGTCACATACAATCATAATGAGGGTGCTAATAAAGTGTATCTCATCTGGTTTAGTTTTTCATTAAACCGTTGTTAATGGATCTTTTCTTTAGCACAACACTGACATATTGACATACATTTAGTCATTGGATCCTTTGTTAAAATAGTAATATTGATTAGAGCGGCCTAAATGTTTGTTTTTGTTTGATGGAAATGACGAATCTAACAATGCATAAACATCGTAACACATACAAAAAAATACTTTCTTACAAGGTGGCTTGCTTCTTTTCCTTTGCATGTTTAGAATATACAGTACATATCCCTAATTTGAGAATTCAGTTAAACCCAAAACAATATCATTCAAACTAAAGGCTTTTTCACTACCTCGGCCCCATAATTACAGGCGTTCACTCAGTAACCCTACATATATTCTCTACATTTACCTAATACAAGTTCAGGTTTAAACTACTGTATGCCGCTATATGTAGCATTAAAAACCAGTACAGTCCAAACCATTGAAGCTGAGAGGAACAGATGGTATGATATCATGTGACAGGTCTTGTTTGAATGATGTGGATCGAAAGGGTATATGTGAAGACAGCCAAGAAAACATGGCTTCAGCCAAAAATCTGACCTGGAAACGAGAGTTCTTGGCATTTCTCTGTGATTAATTTAATAATGTGTGCTCTCTCAAGAGAACAAAAAAACATCCAAAAGTTAATCCCCCCACCACAGCAACAGTTCTCTGTACTACACGTGCAGAAACAATACATCACTAAGCTGTTGGGATGGGCTTTGAGTTGATAAGGTGCCAGAATGCCTTATTAGAAGTGCTAATAATGCTCAAATTGCCTTTAAAACAACCTCCCCTCAAACTTTTGCGCAACTTTCTGTAACTGACAATCAGTCCACTCCAAGCTGAGATTGGCAGGGTGAGGGAATTATTAAAAGATGTGAAGTTCTCAGACAAGCTCTATTTTCTAACATGTGTGATGTGTACCAACAAGAGCCTCATAATGATTGACTTCCAGTAGAGTTGTTTGTCATCCCGTATTTAAATGATGATAACCTCTTGCCATCTATGACAGTCATCTTCCAGCCCACCTTCAGTGGCTGTACTTTGTGTGTCATCATGGCAACATGTGATGCTAGTGACACCTGCTGAAGTGGAACTACCTCTACACACTACTTTGCCCAGTGTTATGTCTATCTGGCTGTGGATGGATTTTGTCACCACTATTGCTCCAAAACCTTGCAAGATGCACAAAACATATCAAAAATTGGTTTGGTCTTATCAAGGACGCTGGAAGTTGGCCAGTAGGAAATGCCATTTTTACACCTTTGGCCTAATTGGGCGTTGCGTCTTGTGTGATTCCATCACAAATTGGTCTCTAGTTGTTTTTAAATCATAACCTGGTCTCTTTGGTCGGTTGCAAATAACTAAACCAAAGGCTGACAAATCTCGACGTATTTTTTACACAAAGTAGAGATTCATAATTCTATCTAATCTGCTTGAGTTTGGCGTTCATGGATGATTTTGCTCCCGTTGCAAAGTAAAGTATCCCACAAACAATGTGTTAGTCTCCCTGCTGGCAGGTGTAACCACTCGAAGCCATAATGTTAGTCAGTTTCAGTATCTTACTATTTTATCAGCAACGACAAGACCAGCTCATTTTATTATCAGCTTCCCATATCATTTCTCTTTAGATTTAGCCTGAGGCAAACACATCTGATTTCATTTCAAGGATAACTACACTTGATAAAGTGCCCTCATTTAAAAACAAAGATCTAATTACACGGACACTTAAGAAACAATCCTCTTCACTTTAATCTCACATGAAATGTAACCTATTTATTGGAAGAATTACATTCAAAATAACAAGTACAGGACTTTTGTAATTAACCACTTAAATCGTGCTTAATTTAGACAAACCCCCTCCGCTGTGTTTTGATCGTCACGTCTGTAGACCTTTTTATTTATGCCCTATTTCTCATTCTGTAACCCACATTATGACCAGGCTACACGCCAGCCTGAAGTATACAGAGAGCGACATTGAGTGTAAGGATAGCAGCATAACCAGCTCGCTGAGTGACGATAAGAGTAAATGTGTTTAGAGTAACTGGGCCAAAGGGACCTGGATTGATGTTATAGTGAGCGTTTACTGGCAGAGCACTATCAATACTATCAGATGTACAAGGAGGCCTTCAGGCATTACAACACATCACCAACACGAAGCCTCCAGGACAGAGACATGACTCTAAATTCCTCTCTCCAAATAAACTGAAGTCTTCACGCCACTATCTGCGTCCCCAAAGACCTTATAGCTTTGGATTCATTATCAGCCAAAGATAAGAAACATGTAGAAGACCAGTTTCACAGATCTTTGGTCCCTTCAGTACGGACTTCGGTTTGCGTGTTCCTAATCGCGTGTTTTGTCTCGAGCCGTTACGTAAGCAAGATCCAAATCCACTTCCCCTGTTTATCAACCCATAACATCACAACTTAATTGAATCTCTTTTGAGGAAAGTTTTAGGACAAATGTAAGAGAAACAAAGGTGCTTTTATATATTTGACAGCAGGATTTTGATATCCACTTAAAGTACACGTCGTTCCTTGTGGTAAGAGACACTGTGTGTCTGCTGGTGTCCTGCAGCTAGATGTTCCTGTCCTCTGTCAGTAGACGCAGGTGATCTACAGTAAAGATGAAACCACAGTCCTCGCCCCTCAGCCCATAAGGAGTCTTATCTTCACCGACAGATGTTTCTGTCTGCTGAGGCCTTGTGAATACACTGCTTTACAGAGCAATTTCCCGAAGAATCTTAATGCATTGGAACAGATCTTACCCAGTATTTGTGAACAACAGTAGATCCAACGATTTTGAACCATGTTACCAATTTGAAATGAAATCTAAATGTTGCTGAAAACAACAAATAATTACCAATTATATGGTACCAAACCTGACTGCATCAATTAGACAATGAGGCTGGCCAAAATAGTTTGTAAGGCATGTTATCTGGCCATACTTGAAGGGAAAGTTGTTGTTGCTCAGAGAATCCACACGCAAAAGCACCATGTGAGCTGTCATAGTGGCTTTTTGGACTTTTCTTGAAGGAATGTTTTGTGTTGCACTTAGTTGTACACATCCAAAGTAGTATACATTATTGTGTAAAGCTTGTACACCAACTTTCTCATCTTCAGGCCAGTCACTCTGTGTGGTGGGCGTGAATGTTAGATTGATTGAAGTTGCACAAATTGTCAGACGCAAACAACCCAATTAAGATTTTGACGTGTGGGTGTAGGGACAGACGATGTTTGTCAGCTTTCACTTTTGACACAGTAAGGCTAGCCACCTACGTGTTTAAAAAAAAAAATGTTTTACACATCGTGAATCCAGATACTTAATGTATGCACAACAACAGATTGATACTAATTATATGTTACTCTCTAGATGAAACAAATAAGCATAGACCACAACTTTTGATTTGAAACATTCTTGTGTATTAAGTCTTTTTACTGTCAGGATATCATACTGAAAGCAACTTCTGACCAAGTGGCCACAACAACAACAACTGTGATACATCACATGGATTTGGCCATGAAGTTGTACACTTCCTCAAAACTACTCAAAGCAGACATTCAAAGACTAAGCTCACAGCTAGAAACAATATTAAGACATTTATGAAATAATTGCCATTTTTCTCTTTGTTTAGTTAGGGATCAACAACACATTTAAATCTTGATCTGATAGTAAGTGTTTAGCCCAAGGACAATGGCTGATAAAAGCCAAACAATGCCAAAGCTTTCAAAAGTATTAAATGTCAGGTTCAGAGAGAGTTAAAGAGACACATAGTAAATACATTAAAAGCCAGTAAACAGATGTATCATCCAGTTTGACCAAGTTTTCACCGAGATGGATATACTTACTGTATATAAAATATATTTAATCTTCTTTCGCGTTGACAATTGTTTGGCCAATGATAGACTTGGGAGATGTGGATGTAACAGATTGGAAATACTTTATCTTCAAACTCCAAGTCAGACACCTACAGCGTGGGCTGTGACTGGGTGGGCCTGTTTGACAAAAACATGTCAAAAAACTGTTAGATGTTGCCAATCAAAATAACGTACCATATAACAGCAAAACATGACTGTCACAGGCCTTGTTGCTAAAGGTCTTTCCCGCTAAAAGCAGACAACTGATCATTATGTCATCAAGGAGAAGCCATCACAAACAGCGACAAGCCTTTGAGCAGAACAATGGACTGTAATATGAACAGGAATCCATCAATGCTTTAATCTAACAAGACCGTAAGCCTCACAGCATGATCTGCTAATAAAACGTCCTTAATATTTGATGGCACTCAACAGATTCTAACAAAAAACAAAGGAAATTAATCAAGATAAATGCAAAGTTATGCTCATCAAGATGTAAATGCAGACAGAGCTTAATAGCCATGAAGAAAACCCTGCACCGTATAACTCTCGTATAACTTGACATTCTGGCAAAACAGCATTACAGATGAAACCCCCCGATCACACAACCACTTGGATCATCTTTTATCATCACATTCTTGTTGGTCAAATGTATTGGACGACAGTAAACCATTAATTTGAACATAAACTCTGCTCCATTACAAGCAGAAGCCCATAGGCTATACAGATCAACCAATAGACGTTCTTCTTATAGGCTCAGCAAAGTCATTAACCATTCTTTTAAAATCCAAAGTTATGGCCCTTGATGAGATTATGGCCGATCCATTGGGTCTTTCTTGTCTCATGCTTCTCCTTTATTAGGACTTTATCACTTTATTTTGACATGTAATTTAAGGGTTAGGGTTAACAGCATTGCAGTGCAAACTTCATTAAGCGATCATTAAATGATCCTCTATAATAAGCATTTTAGCAATATCCTTTTGGCCAACAAAAGGATATTGCTGTTCATATTTCATATTCCAGTTCATATTTTAAATAGGCTTGTGTTTGAGGAATTGGCCAGAGAAACTTGTGGATAAATCCCTGCCATAGTTGTCCACAAGGCTCTGTGCGCACAGGGTAAAGTACATCATCCTGAGTCCTGTTCAGTGTGCTAGAATGGATGGCCTGAAACAGATTAGTTGTTTTCCACATTGAGGGAAAACCTCGGTGATAAATGGGTGATATTGAAGTTCCAAAGTTGAATACATTAATCCTGAAATGACTCTTGCCATCCCTGAGCCTGTCATCCTAACAAAGTTTATTGCAATGGAGTTTCTTTTGCAAACTTCCACAAACTTACTCTGTGTTCTCAGCAATAGAGTTGTTCTCTGGACCTGGTAACAATCGTCTCAGTATGCAGATAGGACCTGAATGGTTTTCAGGAGGCTGGCTGATTGTTGGATTTCTACATCTTTCGCCTGCAGCAACTTTGACACTGCATTCACACTTTCCAGTACTTTTGTTTGGAGAAGCACTTGAAAAACAAAGTGGAGTGTTTCCATCTGCTTCTTCAGGGTTGTAGCTTTGTCCTGTTTTTTTTCTCTCTCTGTGCTGATGAGGGCTATTTTAGTGAAAGCACTGCAGCACAGTGTACATATTTGGCAAGCTTTCAATTTCCACGATCCAGGCCTGAATAGAATCCACTCACGATAGCTCCGTATTCCCCCTCGTACCCCTGCCTTCTCAAATCCATTTCTCCTTATACTGTCCAGGAAGGTTTCTGCAGCTCCACTGTTTCCTCGTAAACCAAGAAAGCCTTGTATATCTTTGGTGCTCTTGTTCTTGTCAATGCAATGCTCACTCCAATAATAAGCCTTACTTCTCTTCCCATATTTGAATTGATTTTCTGTTTCTCTTTTCACTGGTCATGTATTATCTTGTATGTACCTGGGTTTGCACATTCCTGATGTTGTCTTTGACCCATGAATTATTGCCAAAAGCCATAATTGCCCATTTCTGCATGAAGGGTGTTATATGGTGTATGTTTTTTTTTAAGTATCTGGGCCCTGATGCCGTTGAAAACATACCATAGAATAATGACTTCACATCAAATCGTCCGAGTTAACAACAGTGTATAAGAATTAAAATATATCCCCTAGATATAATGATACATTTTTCAGTTTTGTGTGTGTTTTGTCTTTCTGCAGACGGGGTGTGCTGCATCTCCATGAGAGTAGGGGTATCCAGGACCTTGGCCTGCCCCGCTGGGAGCTGACTGTGTGTCTGGTGGTGGTGCTCTTCATCCTCTACTTCAGCCTGTGGAAAGGTGTCAAATCCTCAGGGAAGGTACAGGCCTGGACCACCAAATGTTGCTTTCTCCATTTTTACCTTTGTTTATTTAACTATATATAACCCTTGCATTTTATGACACCTACAATTTGTAGCTGTGATTGCGTAACACAGACATTACACAGACATCTTGTAAAGCAGCTTACTGGAAACGGTTGTTACTGAGTCAAAAGGTCAAGAGGCAGCAATAAACATTCTGACAACTGGAGACTGTCCTCCCCTTTACATTGAATGCGTTATGTAAACTCAGGGCCGTCCCTGGCCAACTTGAGGCCCCACGCAAAGTTAGATTATGAGGCCCTCTGTTTCGCGAGCGTCGACGGGGAGGGGGGGGTGCTAGTGGAGCTCAGTTGAGGCGCCCCACGCAATCTGCGTGATCTGCCTGTAGGGAGGGACGGCCCTGTGTATACTGCAGTTACTTTCACCCATGCCATAAAAGGTTGAAAAGACTATGATTTAAATTGCAAACACAGTGTTTGTTATCGTATAGTTTTACATGACGTATGTACCGTTTTTCTCTCTGCTGTGTTAGCCTAGCACTTTAACTCAGAAAGATAGTAGGAGAGGGATTTTGAACCTTTTTAAGGAGTACTGTCAGTAATTCTGTGTCTGTTTGGTGAACGAAAACATTAATATTTTGTGTTTTCACACTTTATCTGTTTGTATTCAGGTGGTGTACATCACAGCTACCATGCCCTACATTGTCCTTGTTGTCTTGCTGATCCGAGGCATAACTCTACCTGGAGCCAAGGATGGCATCAAGGCCTACCTCAGCATAGACTTGAAGCGGCTCAACAATCTGGAGGTCAGAGACTACTTGTTGGTCACAACACATTCGTGATTTTTGGAGAGACTTTGAATGGGTCTCCATGGTTAAAATGATTATTGTTTTCAGTCTGTTGTTCCAGGTTTCAATAGGGAAGAGACCATCAGTTTTATGTTATTCTTATTGAATATCCTTTTCTGAATGGGACTTCAGATCTTTCCATTTATGTTCTTCTCTGGGAGTAATACTTACGTCAGAGTCGTTGTGGATTTATTACTCTGTAGGAGTTTAAATGATTTGTTCTCTGTTCTCTGTGCCATAGGTGTGGATTGATGCTGCCACCCAGATATTCTACTCACTGGGAGCAGGCTTTGGGGTGCTCATTGCTTTTGCCAGTTATAACAAATTTGACAACAACTGCTACAGGTAAGAGCCTGCATATGTTATTTATGATTTTTGATAGTCCAAAACAAGCCCACAGTAACATAACATCCTGCTCGCTTCAAGCAGTTTACTTGCATGTAACTGGATCACTGAGCAGCAGAGATGATGCTAATCTGTACATCTGACCCGAATGGCCAGGTGTTAACAGGACAGATAAAGTACAGGCCAGGAAAGGTTTCTTGATAATAGCCAAAGGCTGAATGTTGACTGGGTTTGTCATACTGCTGCTCTTCTTCAGAAAAAGCAGGCATGAGATAGTGAGCTTATCTTTTTCCACATGAATGGATTGCAGTGGGGAGGTTGGAGGCAGACGCTGTTGGAAAAACAGAAGTTTAACCTTGAATGGTTGTAAATATACCTCACTAGAAGACACAAAATATCTCAGTGAAGCTTCACGTAAATCAAAGCATGAAGTACCGCTATCTTAAAGTAAAACGGTTCTTATCAATTACATTTCACTATTTTCCCACAGGTGAAATGTAAATCCCAGGGGCTCCTATAAGCTAAACAAGTGCTCTACTGTAAGTTATAAGCTTTATGGACCCCCTCCTCTTCTGTCCGCTCTCATTTCCTGCACCGTCTTCTTCCAATGGGGCCTTCTGCCTTCCTTCCCTTTCATGTCCTATTTCGAGATGTGGTGGACTGCTGGCAGGTGGGATTTGTATTATGCAGCAAACGAGCAAATCTGAACTAGCTGGTGCTTTTAGAAAAACCTCCACTCAACACAGACTTTTGTTTGAATGCCCAAACAGATGCAGGAACTCTGCATTAGGTACTGTATAGCGCAGTGAGTGTAGCAGTCTGTTCTCTATAACAATCACCTGTGTGAGAAATAAAACTCAGGGATTCAAGGAAAACCTCAAAAGCAATCAGAAAAGTACAAGACAACGACGCAGTCTTCTGCCAAATCTTTGTTTCTTTTTTACATGAAATGCTCCCTTTCAAACGATCCCTTGACCTGTTGAAATGCCTCATCTGGTTTATTTCCATGATATATTCTGAATTCAGTTAGGCCTATAATAACTACAGATTTTCTAATAAACAATGATTTGAAAAAGTCCAACTTTCTGGAATGTACTTGACATCTAAATCTTGTAATTGTATGTTAAGCTAATTATGATATATGTATTCAAATAACAGTGCTAATGACTTGGAAACGTTTTCGGATGTTAAAAAGACACATTCCTTTCTCTTTTACTAATTTACCTCATCACGTATTTGTCTCATCAGGGTTGTGTACATATTTTACGTCTGAAATCATGTATTAGTGTCATATGCATGCTCTTAAGGGAGGCACAGTGATGTGAGGCTGCACCTGTGTTGAATACCAATGAATACACTTTAAATGGTTCCATCACAGCCTGCGCAGGAAGAAGGCATTCTTTAGATGGAAAGTCATCAGGGAGAATAAGCTTTATTGAAAGATTTCTGCTTTCTCAGCTTAGGAGATAGCCATGGTCAAATTGATCGTGTTTAGTTAGTCCGATAAGCTCAGGTATGTAAACACAGAGCAGCTCACTCGAAGCAGCGGAGAACGAAAGCTTCTCATTAACCTGAATATCACCCCTGAGACTCAGTGTTTGGCAGATGATCAAGCCATGTACAACTTGAAAGATATCAAGTGACACATGGCCCCTTTAAGACTTTACATGTGTGAGTCAGAGGAATACAACTGGCTTTATGTCTTTTTATAAAACGACACTTAGTCCCTCATAAAAAAGAATTAAAGTTAACTCTAGCCAAAGTTAAAACACAGCATTGTGATAACGTGGATGACGTAGGTTGGACAGTTTTTGGGTTAAGGGAAGGGAGATGAACAGGTGTAGAAACTTTTGAACATATTTCTGTTCTTGTGTTGTTTTCTTTCTCCAGGGACGCTCTCCTGACCAGCACTGTGAACTGCGTCACTAGTTTCTTATCAGGGTTTGCCATCTTCTCTGTGCTCGGATACATGGCTTATAAACATGGAGTGAACATAGAAGATGTGGCAACAGAGGGTAAGGGCTGGTGTCAGATATGGCAATAATATTTAACGTTTTTATTGTGAACCAATCAAAAGTGGTCAGCTTTTAGTATGTCAGGTTGTTTCTGGAATTAATTAAGCAATAGCTCACGACAGGCCGTGGTCATATCGGCTGTGATATAATTACCATATATCACGGCCTGAAGTGAGCTATTGCTTTTATAAAACGGTTACCAAGTATGGCAATATGAAAGAAAAATACACACTCCAATGTAAATAGTTTTTATTAGTAAATAATGATGTTCAAAATAAAATAGTCCCTCCGTTACCTTCTGCACAAACCATAGTGCGAGATGGTTGCTATGCAACAACACACAGCTAGCGAACATATTAGACAGACAGCGTTGATCGATTATTTGGTTATTTATTTACATTCATTTGTATGTTGCCGTTTATTGTGCACCCACTGAAAAACTGTCCAGCATCAGTAGAATGGCTTACGTGGTTATTTGTTCTAGGCTGTTGCTTGGCGTGGCGAGAATATTGCTCCACTTTCTCCGGTCCCCGAGATTCGTCTTCCAGTAGTAGTAGCAGTACTAATGGTCATACTTTCTCTGCTTTCAAGACCCGCATCAGAAAGCTTTTGAATGGTGGTACTGCGAAGGCAGTGGTTGGTGTATTTCTGCTGTGTTCCTGCTTGCTTGCGGGCGAAGTTAACCTTAAATGTTTCCATCTTAAGCTTTGTTAGTTAGTTAGTTTCGTAACGGACGTAATGTAACAGCTGGAACGGTTGTAGCTTTTTCTCAGACGCGGAGGGATACTGACTTGTGAAAAGTAACTACAATTCTACCCGTGATATACGCTCATTATATCACGGCTAAGAACCAATCAGATTGCTTGATTTGACTTATCCGTTTTATAAAATGCGTTATCACATGCCTCTTGAGTGACCACCTGTGATTTCCATCTTAAGCTTTGTTAGTTAGTTAGTTAGTTAGTTAGTTTCGTAACGGACGTAATGTAACAGTTGTAACGGTTGTAGCTTTTTCTCAGACGCGGAGGGATACTAACTTGTGAAAAGTAACTACAATTCTACCCGTGATATACGCTCAATATATCACGGCTAAGAACCAATCAGATTGCTTGATTTGACTTATCCGTTTTATAAAATGCGTTATCACATGCCACCTGTGATCACTTCAAAAATCTATCTATCTTCATCTATATCTATATATATAAATAAACTGTTTGTATTGCACATACAAATACATGTGATTTTATGAAAAATAGATGTTGTTATTGGTGTTTGTACAATTTCCAATTGTTAATCTCATAAATCCATCACTGCCTGGCTTAATACTGTATTATGATATAATTCTGCAAGTATATCTTGTATTTCTTTTTCGCACTTGCTATGATTAATGATTAAATGATTTGGTCATGGAACTTAAGTTTCACTTTTCAGCAGAAATCACAACTGTTGTGTGTGCACGTTTCTCTGTGTGTGTACAGGGGCAGGACTGGTGTTTATCATCTACCCCGAGGCGATCTCTACTCTGCCTGGCTCGACGTTTTGGGCTATTGTGTTCTTCATAATGCTGCTGACTCTGGGCATTGACAGCTCGGTGAGTCCACACTGATACCTTTCTGTCTTTATAGATTCAAGATTCAAGGCTTTTATTGTCCTTTGAACATAGGCAGTCACAGGCTCCTCCAACAGTGCAACACATGAAACAGATAATAGTGCAAGTAAATACAAATAAAATAGAATAGAAATAGTGCAAGAAGAGTCTATATACAAGTAATTGGAATATGATATATTAGATAAATAATTTGTAAGTTGCAAACAGATTAATGTTATGGATGTTCTTTCAAACTCAATCATATTCTTAGGATCAGAAGTAGAAATTATTAAGCAAGTTCAAAACTTAGGAGGTAGCACAGGTCTAAAAGTGCAAATACAATAACAGGGACAATGGTTAATGGTGAATATAACTAAGTAAATATATGATGTGGTTGTAAAGTGCTGTGTATATAAACCGTATATGTGTCAGTTTGAATTCGATGTCAGAAAGCTTACATGCTGCTCTTGTGCTTTGCTGAAATCACATTTTACCTCAAATTGCCTCTCACTTCCAACTGGGATTCCCAATAAACGGTCTGAAAAACATGTACTTCTTTGACATTTCAAAAGTTGAAAGTAATTTAACAAAACATCTGTCCTATGACTCAGGCGCTGAATCAAAGGGAGGCTTTAATCTCCTGTTATCTGTCGGTGAATGTCTCTAAGCAATTAACTTATCGTCTCGATCATTAATCACTAGATCAGATAAGGAGCAGGTCAGTACAAACTGAAATTGACTATGAACGGGTTTTTTATTGTAACAGGTCTGTGCCTTTGCCTGTACGTCATCATTTTGCTAAAGTATAGGAAAAAAGACACATTTCCAGCCCTGGTTGGTTATGACGTTTTATTGTATTCAATTTTGTCCAAAGTATAGGATATTGTAATTACAGAATTGCCCAATTAAATGTAAGTTTGTTTGGATATTGCAACATACCACTGTAAAGAATAAACATTTCCCATGGATATATGACATAAAACATTAGAGTACAGTATAACAGCATACTATAGCAGACTTGTGCAGTTCTTACAAATGATCAGTAATGTTTTTGTTATATTTATATCAAGAAGGCACAATTGACTGAAATCCTCAAGTCAAAGTCAAGGAAAGGTTTCCATTTTAAAACACTTTCAATGGTGCAAGATTTTTATTCAGTTTTTTATGTCCCTCTCTTTTTGTGTCTACCAGATGGGCGGCATGGAGGCGGTGATCACAGGCCTGTCGGACGACTTTAAGTTCCTCAAGAGGAACAGAAAGGTCTTCACCTTCGCCACGGCCTTTGGAACGTTCCTGGTTGCTCTCCTCTGCATCACCAATGTCAGTATCAGATTTCAAAGAGACATTCACACTCAATACTTAAAGGAAGTACTTGTCATAACCCCGCATTAAACCAAATCCCTGCTGCTTACTTTTTCTTTCAAATGCAGGATTGGCAATCCTTCCAACCATGCACAAATACATTTTTATGTTCCATATTTTGATTTTCAACACTCATAAGATGATACAGTAGTAAGACCTACACTGAAGACAAAACACAGCAAAAACCACAGAACAAAAACAGACAACGACAACAACAAAAACGTTGTCTGTGTTCACAAGTTCTAATCTAATCCCAACGAAAATGGATTTAAATCAAACACACTTCAAATGCTGTTCTAAGACCTGCATACACTGTAAAATTCAAAAGAACAATACAAAAATAATTGTTTTAAAACTATTTTAGTTGGCTGGTATATCTAAGTAATGGAGTGTGAATCGCAATTGAGAGCTTTAAACTTGAAATCTCTGTTTCCCATAAGGAAGTTGTCATGTCCCATGATTTGATGTCGTCACAGGAAAGTTTAAGTAAAATATCACAGAACTCTTTCAAAGGAAAGATCCTAAATGCTATTGCATGAGACAAGATGACTAATTACAATTCAATTTAAGTTGTATCCTGGAGGACATTTTAATTTCCTCTTTCGTCCCTATTCATTCAAATGGCATCAGCACTAAGAAGAAACGCTTATCAATACCAGAAAAAACAGACATCGGAGACAGAAAGCTACTACTGATTCACATGGTTTCTTGTCTTTACAAATGAAGGAAATTATTTGTAGTGAATGATGCCTTTCCAATAGTTCCACGGCACAAGATATCCATTGTTCCACCCTGGATACACATCAAGGATTTATTGTACATAAGCTCTGATCCACATGAAATCCCATCTCCATCAAGGTGAGGCTTGTCTTCGCTCACATGTCGACTCTTCAAAGTCAAGCTTCAAGCTTTAAGTCTGAGAGGCCATTGATTATTGAGTCCACACAAGGGTGTACTTCTCTTCATAGAGGAAGATTTATACACACACACACACACACACACACACACACACACACACACACACACACACACACACACACACACACACACGCACTTAACTTTCTCTTCCTCTTTCTTCCTCTGTAGGGTGGGATCTACGTGCTGACCCTGTTAGATAAGTATGCAGCGGGGACCTCTATACTGTTTGCTGTTCTGATCGAGGCCATTGGAGTGTCATGGTTTTACGGTATGAAACTCTACAGTACTTTTTTACCCCACAATTTCTCCATTTAAATTATGTATTTTTATTCCATTACAACATTACATTAGCAGCACAGCTCACTTTCTATAGAATAGAATAAGCAAGAAAAAACTGAAACGTCTTATCCACTAAACCATTCGCTCAGTGTCTTGCCATAATCTAACAGACAAACTGAAACAGGTCAAGTTAGTAGATATCTGTTTTTAGGTTCAGCAAAGCAACAATTGTGAACTCCAAAAAAGCTGAAATGTTATCAGAAAATTATGTCTCAGAGTTTTAAATTCCACAATTTACTTAGTGTCCCTTTTCCAGAAAATTCAACAAGTCCTCATTCAATCTTGGAGAATGTCGATTTTATAATTACATTTTTACATATATAACTAATTACCATAAGACACAATAATGAAAGAAATCCCCTATGGCATAAAACAAAGCACAAGTCATGAGATTGTATCTGTAAAGACACACATCAGCCGGCAAACAGTATCTAACCTATCAGGCGTAGTCCATCTCATTGCCATCTGTAGACACTTAGATATAGCAAGGTAAAATACACGAAGTAAATATGGAAAAATAATGTAAAATTGTGAAACCAGGGCAGAAAAATAAACCAGAAATGCTGGTCGAACCAGGATAACAGTAGTATAGACATTGTGTGTTGTGTTGCCTTCTGTCCAGTGAGATTGCATACTTTGCACTAAGAGCCTGCTGCTCCTACATTGATTGAATGTTTTTACTTTACTCACCACATTAACCTTTACTCTGTAACCTTTCATGTTCACTCCAGGTGTGGACCGCTTCAGTGAAGATATTGAGCGGATGATGGGCTTCAAGCCAGGTCTTTACTGGAGGCTGTGCTGGAAGTTTGTCAGCCCAGCTTTTCTGCTGGTGAGCGAATAAAAACAGTAGAGTTTTTTCATTGGGCTGTTTCATACTGTTTGATCCTAGACCAAAGACAAATTCAGATGAATAATGAATGACATAAAAGACACAACAGCACTCCTGCATCCAATACATATGGTAGTTTGTGATGCCCTAATTTACCAAAGGAATCAAAATGTAAACCCTTATAAGAATCAATAGCGTAATGTAATAGGTTGGGGGGAAAAAGCTTGACCACAGGGTGCAACAATGGACAGTTTGAACCTCAGTGCTCCTCCTGGCGAGTCCTTCACTTGCAGGTGAAATAAACTCAACGTGCATTAGAGGAAGCACGTGGTTGTGTCCAGGGGAGCGGGGTGTGGACAGTCATGTGCTTCCTTCAATACAGATGGCTGTCTACACCCTCCTCTGCACAACTGTGGAAGTGTGTAGTAACAAAGGATGCAGTTCAGGAGAATTGGTCATTCCTCATTGTGAGAAAAAAAGGACAATAGTAAAAAACAAATCCATTATTTACAGATATATTTAGTACTGCCCCATTGAACATGCTTTTGTACTCGAAATGAGAACATTTACCTTTTTGAAATTGCCAACTTAATGGAGCACGACAATTACATGTGTCCTCTCTGTTAAGAGAGCATTTTACCGTAAACCATTGTGCTTTAACACAAGAGACACACAACAAATGTTGTTCTACTTCATCTCGTAGCATCAATGGATTTGCTGCAATCAAATGAAAGGCATAGTTTGGATTGCTTGAAGAGGGGTTGTATGAGGTACTACCGTCCACAAAAACATATTGTAGCCACCTGAAAGAAGGATCTATAAAATCAAAGCTATGTGTACACTGTATTTAAAATACTTTCACCACTTTACATTGCAATGAGACTACCTATGTACTCACTAAAGCCACCAGACTCCATTGAAAAAAACTTACATTTTACTTCTCAAAACACAGTAGTTGCTGGTCTACCGCTGCCTTGATTGGTCCGTTTTTTTGTGCTATAATACGATTATTCGTGAATCCAATTCAACCAGATTGACACAATAACACAAACTGATTGACTGATAGAGGCAGATATAGATCAGCAAGGTCAAATGTGTGTTTTCGTCATAGGAGTATGGTGGCTTTGAAGCAGATAAAGATAACAACTTCAGTTTCCAAGATGAAAGGGTTGTCTCATGGCACATTAAGGCATTCAAAATGATATTGATATCCACCATTTTCACCGTGAGTACTTAAAAAAGGGTGTGTCGACCTCAATCTGCTGTAGGCTATACAGTGACAATGATTTGTACCTGAAAACAAGCCACTTGAAGCATCACAAGCTGTGCCTTTAATGAAGAGACATTGCACATTAGGACAATATTAGAAGATTAGATGTAACCTTCTCCTATGTATCTTTTCCTTTCCCCCCTTCTCTCTTCTCTCTTCACAGTTTGTTGTAATAGCCAGTGCAGTGACCTCGTCAGGCCTGAAGTATGACGACTACGTCTTCCCTTACTGGTCTAACGTAGTTGGCTGGGGTGTGGCCATGTCCTCCATGATGTTTGTCCCCTGTTATGCCATTTATAAATTCCTCAGCGTATCTGGAACATTCAAACAGGTGAGTATCCAAACATGTTCGTCACACAGGGTTAAACAAAAAAGACTGAGATGACTGCCAGGATGAACAGTGGAGGGACACAATGACCCTTATCGGAACATTTTGTACGGTATAAATAAAGTAGAATAAAACACAGTGTACTGGCAATAAATAGGCTTGCAACTAAAGGACGCACAGTATGTTCTTCTGTCCAATAAAACCTGGACAAAACCTTCTGATTAAGGAGATAACTTTCCTCTCTCGACTCGATGACACCGTGAGAACAGTTTCAGATGAAATGATCGCTTCAAAGCATTGAGAGTTTATGATCGCAATCATCAAAGCACCCGAGAGATATTTTCATCCTTCAGGAGACAAACAGTGTCTGCTTCACTCTACTTTTACAATCCTCACATCCCGTTGGCATTTCCCGTTGGAACTCCGGATTTAAGATTCGTCTCAGGTTCTCAGGATACACATTCTTGCCGAAATCTCCTGTCAACACCTATCAAGTGGTGTCTGTCCGCTTCTCATATTAACCAGAAAAAACATCTCTGAAGTTCTTAATACGGATCCCATAATCCCTCACAGCTTTCAAAATGTAATTGAATATTTTTTTCAGAGATAAAGCCCATAATGACTGTTATTATAGCCAGATGTTACATTCAATTGCATTACCTCTTGTATCTCATCTAGTACGTGTCTCCTCTAACAACATGCCAAAGTGTAAAGTCACTTAGAAAGCAATATTTAAGGATCAAATAAAAAATAAATACAAGATACAAGAATGTATAATAATTGAAGAGTGTCTTGTATGTATGTATTTATGAAAATGTTGGGAATAATGTGTCGTATTTTCTTTTTTTGTTGCAGAGAATAGCTTATTGCATCACTCCAGAGCATGAACACCATTTGGTCGCTGAGGGAAATATACGGCAGTTCACAGTAAGGGCAAATGTTTGTGCTTTTCATTAAGGGTGTTAATTTGAACTGGCTAAATGGCTGCAATTAATCTGGATATGGACACATGGAGTTGTTTGTGAAGTGCTTTATGTGTTGACTTAGAATGCATCACAATTAACAGAGATGACACCTAGGGCGTAGGCCTTTTAAAAAGTGCCTTTAAAAAAAACTAATGGGGATATATATTATATTAATTGACATTATAAGCATTATACTTGTACTATGTATCTGTTATTGTGTTGCACTGTTGGAGGGGCCTGTGACCTAAGATTTGCGTTGTCATATCTACACCGTAGCTATGCACACATGACAATAAAAGCCTTGAAAACTTGAAAACTTGAAAACACAAGAGGCCTCAGTAAGTAGGAAAAATAAAAAAGTAAACGATAGGATAATTTGAATACAATAAATAGAACATATTTGACATGAGTCGCAAAACTGACCCAAAATTGTCTTCTGTTTCGCAGCTCAAGCATTGGTTGGCCATCTGATGACAAATACCCAGAATTCCCTCATCCATCCTCACATTTGGTGTTTGGAGTTCCTGTGTGCCACCAGTGGTCGGACAGACAAGAAAAGCACCAGGCTCCATCCTCTCTCAGCAGCCTGCCTCTTCTCCCTACACCACCCAAGGAATTAGTTGTAAACAGTAGCTTCACGCCCTTTGTTTTCAGAGTTAGGCTTTTTACCATTCAACCCCTTCAGATTATAAGGGAAGGGCTCCCCAGGGGGACAAAGTACTGTTATAGGCCCATCGTTTTAATATTCTTGTAATGAATCATAACTGGACATATATGTGATGTGAGTATCATCTCCTGGAAGGGAGATAAAGTAAAATTAAAACCAAAACCATCACAATATCCTGCTAATTATAATACAGGTAACCCAAATGTTTTTTTTTTTCATCAGTTATGATTACTTTTAGTTTGAAGAGAGTCTCTGTTCTTGCCGTTCTCCTGGCAGAGTGGCTTATCTGTGTCAGTGCCTTATCAAGCGAGACACTCCATGTTTCTTACAGTCCACACAGGAAAAAAGTAAAGTTGTGTAGTTTTTGAATGGCTCTATTGATTTGACCCAGTCCTTTGATATCTACTGAAGAGCTAAGAGTCAACAGTGCATGAAGTTGAAGCTCCTTAGCGTAGATGTTCATGTCAGTCAGGCCTGATATAATGCTTTTGAGTCACATTCTGTTACAGAAAAGGGAATAACGCATGCATCACTCCTTAGCTTTAAACGACCATGAGGCAGGCTTAACACACCTCGTATGCTTTGAAAGGCTAAACACACATAACCAGGCCTTAATCTCAAAGAAGTGACTAAGGCTGAACTGGGTAGCCTGGCTGCTAACTGAAGGGGAAGAAAATCAGCAAAACAAATGGCGTAACTGTTACAAATTGTCATTTTTTAAAATTGTTGTGTGACTTTTACTTTTTTAAATGTTTCAAATGTTCAGCACTTCTGAAGAGTATTTGTGGCTTTTGCTCCGAAGAAACACAGTGAGAAAGAGTGAGAGAAAGATACTGTGTGTGTGTGTGTTTGTTGGGATTTTGTTGCCGACCATACAGTATGCTTTTAGTGAACAGTACACAAAGGAATAACAATTCCTCTTTGAATGCACTGTATATCAAGTGCATGATAACATCTCTTATATATTCATTTGAAACGTATTTTCTGATATTACACTTTTTCACCACCAAAAAAGTGCCATAATGTTCCTTTCAGAATGTTTTTTTATTTATTGGAATGAAGTTGAATTTGAGCCATGAATCATAAGAGACCCTTACTGAAAGGAATAAAGCCACAAAGAAAAAAAATCAAATATATGTGGAATATATAAGAAGATATAAAAAATATATTCTTTTGTTATGTATAATCTTATATTTATCAAATTGTTTATAACAAAACGTGAATGTAAAGTATTTTAAGCGTATCTGTCCACAGTCATAACATGGTGTTTGATGTATAGCTAAAGATGAACTATTTAGATGAAATATTCTTCAGCGTAACCCCGGGCTACTTTGTCACTGAATGTGGTTAAATACACCCTGGCTTTCCTGGACTATGTTTACAGAAATACTGTGTACAATACCAATGTCCTGTTGAACGTGAGTGACAACTATCTATAAAGAAGTCTGAAGTATTCACACTATGATAATAAAGAATTCCTTGTACACACACCATGTGTTCCCTCTTGTCTGTTTAGTTTTAGTTTTGCTGCTGACTAAGAGCTTTCCACTCTCTCTTCCTTTGTTATTCAGCTGTAGGACTGGCACACAGACCTTCAATGTCCATTCTTTGTGCCTTTGTTAGCTAAGCTACTATTGTTCATGACCCTCTGCTGCACGCATGCTCGGTTGCCGCACACATAAGAAGAAACAATATCCCGGAGAAACTATTTAGTCTATGGAAAGAACCTGAAACACGTTCTGTTTTGACATAATACTGTGTTTTAAACTATGGTTCTGAGTAAGGCAAGGCAAGGCAAGGCAATTGTATTTATATAGCATCTTTCAGCACGCGACAATTCAAAGTGCTTTACAAAACAAAAACAAAAGACATTTAAGAATAAAGCATAAACACATTATTAAATGGCATTTAAAAACGCATAAAAAAGCAAAGATAATTAAATAAATAAATAAACACAGCAGGTACAGAATACCTGAATAAAAGGCATACTGCAGTGTGACTGAGTATGAACAGCTCAATTAAAAGCAGCAGCAAATAGATGTGTTTTTAGTCTGGATTTGAAAATGGGGAAGTGTTTCAGCGGACGTGCACGATTCGGGCAGTTTGTTCCAGATTAGGCCTTTAATGGAAATAATATCTGGCAGCATATTGAAACTAAAATATGTTCTGATTCCAGCTGTGACCTAAATGTACACTGCACATCAACAAAACACTACATATAAAATGTCAAATCATACAGCTACTTTGACTTATTTAGTCAGTTTTGACTTTAAGATGAGAATGAAATTTGAAATTTGCCATTTGGACTGATCCAAATTGAGTGAATCCGAAAAACGACTTTCCATCAAAAGTAAGGGCATATAAGAGACGCAAAATGTCTTAATGTAATACTCAGTCCAGAATTTTAAATAAAGAAATTGTTGTCACATACAGTACGATACTGACCAGGCAGCCTCTATGATGTCTGAAGTCAATGCATGTATGCAATATGCAGCATGGCTGTAAACACATACTGTGTACACAGAGATGGAAATACTTTCATTGGGAACCACAAAAATCTGATACAAATCTATTTGGGAGGGTTACTGTGAGGTCCACATTTAAAAATACACAGAGGTTCTTTACAAATGCTCCTATTGAAAGTACAGTCTGCCACACAGACAGTAGCAATTGTGCATACGTTTGTTTTTCAATGTTTTGTAACACTGTAACCTTTATGCTGAAGTTACATTTTAAAGAAAGTTATTAGTAGACATGAACCAGCTTCAGCCTCTGAACCTGAAACACAAAGGGGAGCAAACACAACCTGGATCCTACCAAACCCACAAGGCCAGGAAAAACCCAAACTATGTTAAGCCAGTGGAATTCTTTTGTAGATGCTACTCTTTCAATTTCCCCAACCAACAAGCACTACATCGTTTGTACAAAGGGCAGGGCGGAGAAGTCTCAGACCCCTTCTCAGACAGTCAAGTTTAATCCAATGAGGTATGGCGGGTAGCTGGCAAGGTGGTAACTAAGCTTAGTATTGTATTGTTGTTTTGGGATGTTATTTCATATCCCATCTGGGGAACCTCTGCCACAACTTTAGACATCAATGGATGAAAATAATAATACAATTATATTCAAAGTGAATCCAGTCAAGAAATTCATTTCAGTCAGACAACTCAAGTTTAAAATGTTTATTAACAACAGCATATCATTTGGTGTTTAGGCTCTGGCCTCACCACCCCCTCAATGTATTTTTGACATACAGTATGAGGTGTGATGATTTTGTATTTTTGTATTTTACTATATATGTTGCATTGTTGGAAGAGCTCAGGTCAGAAGAATTTAATTGCCATTTCTACACTGTAGATTTGTGCATACAATAAAACCTTTGAATTTTGAATCTTTGAATGAATCTAAATAACTCTCCCCCAGAGCCTACAGGTGGATGCTGGGGGGATTATGGGGCGGAAAAGCAGTATCTTCGCAGAGATAGCAAATCTTGCAGCATGAATAGAGCGCCAGACTACGGAGAATGAGTTTGGTTGGTTGTATGAGGGAATAAGGCATGTCACGAGTATATGAGTCATTATGGCCCAAGTTGAACTAGCTTCCAGGCTTGCTCCATAAATAACAACATTGAAGGTGGGTCACACTTTAAATAACAATGCAGCTAAAATATTGAGTCATGGGAAACCTTTTTACTTGTTAAAGCTGCTTGTCATATCTTGTTAGTTTCCTATAAGATAACCAAAAGACAGAAAAACATAGATCCATTTCCAAAGGAAAAATAGACTTAGAGACGGGATTACAACAGCGGATGGACTGTTAGTGAAATACTGTAACAAAGGCGATTGAATTGTGAATAAGGCCAACAGCTGGAGATGGTTACAATATTTTCTTTCCAGTTTTATTATCTATCTATGCAAGCACAGCCATAACGTTCCAATGAGCCCAATAATTGGCGTAACACTTATTCTGGAACGCGTGTACAGCAATGTTATTGGTCTGATTAGGCAGGTTGTTATGGTATAATGGACTCTACTGTGAAACAATGATCACATTCCCTCTGCTGTCCCATTTTTAGCAAGGCACGCAAAATAAATATTAGACGCTGTTACATGTGGATTTTAAATGTCTCCTATTATGCTATTTTTAGGCATATATTATGGGTCTCAAATATATACAAATATATAAAAACATGTCTATGATGTGTTTTGCTCAAAATACCAAACAGATCATGCATTTTAGACATCCCTCATCCCTCTGTTTCAGCCCTGCTAGAGAACTGCAGGTTCGGGGTCCTTAGCTTGAAAAAAAAGAAAAAGAGGAGGGGGAGCTAATGCCTGCTCAGAATTATACGAGATGCAGCTAAATGCTGCCATGATTAAATGCCATATCATGTTCCAACCCACATCAAGGATTATTTCTGAAACAGAATGGAGCTCAAATGCTTTTTCTCTTGCGGGTTTACCACAAGGTGAGTTCCTTTTTTTATTTCTTGCTTTTTTACACATACTCTCCCCAGTACAGGTTAGCTCTGAGTGTTAGCGATGCTTGCTAATGTAAACAAAGACTATATAACGTCAAAAACAGTCGGGCATTGTTTCTGATAGGGCCGTGGGTCCACATTTCCGATGTTACGTCATATCGGACGCAAATCTGGATCAGCTCCGTTGTATCCCCGTTTTTAGAGATTTGGGTACGGAGGAAAAGAGAGAGGGTTTTGTTTTCTGACACTTTGTGAGTTCCCTGACACACTGGGGACACATGTTTATTTATAAAAGACATCAGAAAGTGCATTTTGCATGATAGGTCCCCTTTAATATGCAAATGATAATAAGCCGTGTCTCCTGCCTCTCCTCATGGGCCATGTAAGATCACTGGCTAATTGAATGGACGAGCTAACTGGGAGTCATATGGACGAGTTAACTGCATTTGCTTGGTGTCAGGCGTACAGGCTAACGGCATTAGCTACGTTTCAGACGGACGAGCTAACGGCGCTAACTAGGAGTCAGACGTACAAGCTAACGGCGCTAGCTAGGAGTCAAACAGAATATCTGGAGTATTGTTTAATGTGCTTTACGGAAACATGGATGCACCAGGATATAACTGATTCAGTGTAAGGAGCAGGACAGGTTGATACAGGGGCGGACTGGCCATTGGGAATACTGGGAGTGTTCCCAGTGGGCCGGTACCGAAGTGGGCCGGTCGGACAATTCACTAGCACCCCCCCCCCGTTGACGATTGACTAGCGGTACCGAGTTGGGCCGGTCGGCCGGTCGAGTTTCCCGGGCTGATTTTTAGTCCCAGTCCGCCCCTGGGTTGATACAATGTAAGATGCAGAAAGCACAACAGTATTTGTTCTACAGGAATCCTCACAAAATGTCCCATCTAATTTGATAATGAAGACCTCCTTGGATGATAATTGATCTTACTCTATCTGTCTGATCAGTTGTTTTTAAGTTGGTTTTGAATTGTCTGCCTTTTACATCTCATTTCATTTTAGCCCTGCTCCTCAGGGCCTCCAGCTTAATGCTGCAAAAAGGTCAAAACCACAAACTTTCATTGAATTTGTTCAGCCAATAAAAGTCAAACTGGACCACCACAAACTGGTTCTTAATTGGCAGCTCTGTGCAGCGCTAATGTGATTGAGGCAAAGGAGAGCCATTTTTTAATGCGCCTCTTTAGACTGAGAACTTGTTCTATACTCATAATCCAATTGCTGGAGAATAATCCATGTGACTGAGAAGTAAAATCCCTCTGTGGTTGGCATGGAGAGAATCCTGAAACAAGGGGATGAGTTAAGGGGAGTATATTCTGTGATAGAGATTTATCATGTGCTATGAAAGTTCTCATGAAACGCAGTTATTGTATATGCAGCAGGGTGTCAGATTTCAGAGTTGTTCCTGTCTACTACCTGATTCTCCCATGAGATTTGTCTACATACAGAACTGTAATGTGAGCGGTCTTCTTTGTTTGCACATCTGTGATGATTAGTCCTTGGAATAACATATCAGAGATTTACTGACTGAAAGTAGTTGAAGGTTACGCTAGGTTTTGAGTCCAAAGGCGACTGCATTGAACATGTCAGACATCAGTGCCTCTCTTTGGGAGGGACATTTTACATGGTTCTTCTTGTAAAAGTAAAGAAAACTTAAAGGGCCCATGTCATGGCCATTTCCACTGATCATAATTACATTGTTGAGGTATACTAAAATAGATTTATACTGTGCAATTTTCCAAACTCACATTGGTTTCGCATACAGCATCTCTGTCAAGCATGTGTATTCAGCAGTATTCACTTTCTCCACTAAACGACTCGTTGGAGCTCTTGCCCCCCCCTCCCTGTGAGCCTAGTGTGCTCCGATTGGTCAGCTCGGCCACTCGTTCTGATTAGTCAACCACCAGAGAGGCTGCGCCCATGTCAGTGCTTTTCCCGGCTGCTCTCAGCGTAACATCGGTCTTATCATGGCGTCGGTACAGCGGTATATTTTATATACAT